TCTACTTTATATGTGGGACGCCTATCACAGCATGGCATGCCAAACGGTGCCATGTCTGCACCTGGGATCCGAACTGGCGAACCCCTGGGCCGCCAAAGCAGAATATGCACACTTAACTGCAGCGCCATGGGGCCAATCCCAGAGGAAGTATTTTTCAAAACATCTAGAGAGTGATAGGATATGAAGGCACTGGCCAAGAGAAGCTCTACCCAGGAAGAGTGTGTGCACGCAGATCTCCGCGGAGGAGGCAGAGAGTAGTGGTTCTCAAGCCTTAGCCGTGGGGCCTGGTTCAAATGCAGCTGCTGAATTAGCAGGTCTCGGCAGGCCTGAGTTCCTGCATTTCTGACAAGCTCCAGGGGAAGACAGTCTGCACACACAGACGACACCTGGGGACGTAAACCTAGACAGGGGTTTCCTACTGAATAGTTATCACCTGGGGCGGGTGAAGGAGTGTGTGCTCCCAGAGGGAATGGGGGAGTCCCGGAGAGTCTCCTCCAGCCCTGGCTGTGCCCCAGCACGCAGCTGGTGGGGAGGAAGGCTGTTGTAGCGTTTGGGGAGACGAGGTCATCAACAAAGGTTGGGGGCGGCGAGGTGAGCCTGGTGAAGAATTGGAGATTGTCCTTTTGAAGTTCTGGCCATTGAATAAGGATTGCTACCGGGTGGAGTGATTGCTAAATTGTATTCTCGCTGTCTTTAAAAACAGTGAGATTGTGTGTGCGCGCGCGCGCGTGTGTGTGTATTTTCACCACTGGACTGTCAGCGTGCCCCTGTTTTTAAGAAAAGACTCTGTCCACCCGGTTCTTCCTCACTGTAGCCTGGGGTGAGCCTGGAGGGAGGTGCCTGAGGGGAGAGCCTGGGGGTGGGCAGGCGGCCTGGAGAGGAGCACCTGAAGCAGGAACACACCGTGCGTTCTTTGGAGCAGATACAGTCAAAACCAGGGAGAACAAACCCTCCTGTGCGTGAGGTGTGGGAAACTTCAGTCACGGCCGAACTAGTCGGGAGTTTGTAGCCAAAGGAAAGAGCCAGAGCAAGGGGGTGGCTAGAAGGAGGCCCACAGTGGCCACGGGGCCCTGAGACCTTTAGTTTCTGGGGCCTCGTCCTCCCAGGCGGAGTTGGCAAAGTTCCCCGTAAAGGGCCAGATAGTAAATAGTTTCACTCTGTAGACCGTATAGTTTCTACTGCATTAACTTCACTGTGCCTGGAAACAGCCACAGACAACACACAAACGAGTGGGTGTGGCGGGTGCCAGTAAAACTGGTTATGGACATTGAAATGTGAAGTTCAGATAATGTTTGTGTGTCTCAAAATAATATTCTTTTGATCTTTTTCAGCCACTTAAAGGCGTGAAGACCGTTCTTGGTTTGCAGGCTGCACAGACACAGGTGGCAGGTGCACTGGGCCCCTGGCTGGAGTCTGCAGGCCCCTGGCCAAGGGGCTGGGTTGGTCTGATGGAATCCCAGTGCATAGATCTTTCATTGTAAAATTTTGGAAATTGTCATAAAAGAGTCTGGCACAGAGTCTAGCACATAAAATATAATTAGATGCTAAATTAAAGGGGGGAAAAATGGAAAGTTTGGAGTTATTCGTGTTAGGGACATAAACACACCCACTGAGGCTATTCTCTCTCGTGTGCAAAGCTTGCTAGAGTCGAGTGATTTCAGATGGTGGTGGGATGCCTTCGTAGCACATCACAGAGTGCTCTGTGTGTCTGACCCTCACAGCAGCCTTGTGAGCAGTGAGCGCAGAGTTAGCCTGTTTACAGAGGAAGAAACTCATGCCACAGAGCTAGTGTCACCAGCCCTAGGTGACAGTGCTCCTAAGGCCGGGGGCAGGATGTGTGTCCAGACCTTCCCCTTGCTGATACTGTTTTTGTTTTCACTGCCGCATATACGTGGTCCTTTGGAAGAATTGTGTTCTGAATTATCATTTATAAGTCACTTAGAACATGGAACTTTTCTCTTTAGAGAAAGAAAAAAGTGCCTAGGTTCTAGGTTATCTGCAAATGATCATTTCGACTCTGATGAAGCAGAACTGTAGTCCTGCTGCTGCAGCGTGAGTTTTGGGTCCTGGGGCTGCGAGAAGTAGGAAGGAATAAGTAGAAATAATTTTCTTTGCCCATGAGTTGCTGAGACAAGCTTCCTGTGGTTAATTTGTACCTTCTGCCCTCTTGGCTCCTGCTTTTCTGTCTCTGGCTCCCAAACTTGTCCCAGTCCTCCTATAAATCTCTTCCTAGGCCAGTGACCCTCAACCTTGACTGTGAGGATCTTTGGAGGAGCTTTTAAAAACTACCAATACCTGTGCTCCAGCTCCAGAAATAGTCATGTGGTCAGGGGTGGGGGTAGGGGCTGAGCATTCGTTAGTTTTAAAAGTTTCCCTGGAGATTCAGATATGCTGCCAGCTTGGAGAACTACTGCAGCTTCTTCTGCGTAGCTGGCTTCGGTTAGGTTTCAGGAAGGCTGCTGATGAAATGATTCCACAGTGTTCTGTCTCTCCCACATCTCTCGCATCCATTTGGTGCTAAGCCTGGTACGTTGAACTGGTCACTGTGTTTGTCCTGCCATCTCTATGAGCACAGCTGCCGGAGGCCAGACCACCGGTTCTGGTCTAGAGCAGAACTTCACGATCTGGCTGTGGTGAAGAATCATTTTCCTTTTCTTCTTTTAAAAAAAATTTCCAATGTTTTCCTTTATAAAATGCAGTAAAAACAAATTAGTAGAAAAAGGAAATGAAGAGAAAAGATACAGAATACCCACCTGAGCCTTTTATGAGTCGCTTCAGCAGACATGGAACTGCTCTCACTGCTGTGAAAGTAGCTCAGTTTCTGGCCTGCTCACCGCGGGCGAGTGGCAAGCCATCGGCGGTGAGTGGCCCGGCCCCGCTGCTGAGGAGGGCCGCAGAGTACACCGCCTCCTGCCTCCTTGCTGGTCGGCTTGCCATTCCCTGAGTAGATCTGTCTTCACTTTTGGATGCTTCTGCCCCGTTTCCTCTCCTTACTTACACCCCTGCCTTCAAGGCCCAGTGAGAGTGTCGCCTTCTGTGTGAAGTCTTCTCTGACCCCACCCAATGGTTCAGGTAATTCCTTCATTCAACAGTTACCGGTATATTTCAGCTACTGTCCTGCGTCATCACGTGGCCTGGCTACCTAATTTGTGGGGCCCTTGTTAAAAAATTACCAATATTTTCAGGATAGAGACAGCAGAGTGTCTGAAACTGTGTGCGGGGCCTTCTTTTTAATTAATTAGTTATTTAAAGGCGTACAGTGTGTTACTTTGATAGATTTACATATTGTAATATGATTGCTGTTGTACAATCTTTACAACATCATATAAATACAGTACAATATTGTTGTCTCTCTTCATTCTTCTGTGCATTAGATCTCTGTATCTTGCTTACTACTTGTTGAAAGGGGCCTTCTGAGTGTGGGGCCCTGTGCAGCTGCATGGGTCACACGCCTGGGAGGCCGGCCCTGGCCATGTCTTTGTGCATGCCTTATAGCAACACACATGCCACTGAATTGTAATTATCCGAGTGTGGAGTGAGGTGGAAAAGACTATATGTATCAGAACTCCTATGGGGACCATAAAATGTGTGGTTTGGAGGAACTTTGGTAGGATGAGAGCGAACTTCCTGAGGAGCGTGAGCAAGTTGTGGTGGATCTGCACTAAATGCTGTTAGAAATGGTGGTCCCCTTAATAGCAGGGCACTGGCTGCTTTCCAGTGTAGGGTATGCAAGTTTATGTTCAGAGCTGAAGCACTTGGCATTGTAGGTAGGGGAGAAGCTGGCTAGCACATAGGGCAAGGACCCAGTGGGAGGACGGTGCTGGTAGCAGAGACGGAGATAGAGCAAGATGGATGAGACATCCCATGAGCATATTGGGAGAATCAGCTGTGGGGTGTGTGACATGCATGTGCCATGTGCCCCCATGCCACCCACTGTTTGTCCACATGGTTGGCCAAAGCTTTGTGAAGGAGCAACCCCTTTGAAGGGTGCAGAGAACTGGTGAATCCAGAATCAAGACTGCTGCTCTCAGCCCAATTCTGGTTCCAACATGTGTGTTTTTTCTGAGACAACAGTCTTCAATCGGCATGTTATTTTAGCCGGTGTTACAAAATGAATGGGAAGAGCTTTTTTATGCAGAAGAGGCCTGCCTAAAATGTTGGGAACTGTAATGAAAAGTGGGTATGGAAAAGACATCATCAACTACAAAGACAGAAACCAGTTAAAGAGGCAAAGCATTTATTTGGGATCAAAGAATTGCAATTCGGGGAGCACAGATTCAGGTAGAAACCCAAATAGTGTTGATCACAGGAGAGGGTTTATGGTTTTTATGGAAAATGGGAGGTTGAGGTGAATTTTATTAAAGAAGAGTTCATTGGTGCTAGGTGAAGTAAGGCTAGACTTGTACTTCATTGATTGGTTGAGATTGGTCATCAGCAAAGTCCAATTTCATCAGTCCTTACAAACAGGATATTCTTGTCCTTACTGACTTCTTGGAATGTTGCCAGTCAGGTCTAGTTTGGAAGATAAAGAAAATGACATGCAAGGCAATTCTTCTGAAATGGCTGCTCTGTTTTAATATGGCTCCACTGATGCCATCTTTCACAGCATCAATTAAAATTTGCTTTTACCCCTTACTACTCCTGATGTTGTTTTTCTGTCTCCAATTTTCCTAAATTTCCTGGCTGGAAGTTTTCCCATTCTGTAGCTTCTCTTACTAGCTTTTTTTTCATGGCCTTCAGGAGACTGGGAGGAAAAGAGAAAGGGGGAATTTTAGGAGCACTGAGTCACGGGGATCAATTTGAGGGGGCTCACCTTGGCTAGCCCAAGAGGTGCTAAGAGGTGCTTTTTGGGACGAAAACTTTCCAACAGCCCTTTCCACTAGGGCTCTCTGTTGTGCTGGTTTATCTCTTGGCTGACACTTGATCTTCGGATAATAATTAAGACCTGGAGGTTTGGTCAATGAATAGATGCTGTTTCTAACCCAGATACCTCTTTCCAGGTATCTACACCTCGAGCCGGGCAGCTGTGACCGTGAGGTGGCTCAGAGGTACTATTTGAAGTAGTTGCTGTTTGGATGTTTAGTCAAATGGCCTGTAAAATCTGGCCATCTGTCATAGGCACCTATGTGTTGCACCCGCCCCCAACTCCACCCCCCGGGTCCCCAGCGCTAGCAGGCAGCTTCTCAGCCCACTGAGAGCATCATTCCCACGTGCTGTGCGCCCACCTCGTCCTGTCTCCTGTTAGCACCCGGTCTCTGTGTTGAGTGTTGTTTGTCTTGTTCCTGACTGCAGCTCAGCTTGCTCTTCCCCTTGATGAGTGAGTGATGCTGAAGAAAGACTCCTTCGAGGTTGCCTGAGTTGGAGGGTGGGGAGCCTTTTCTGAGTGTCCTGGAAGCAGGCCCTCCTTAGAAAGAAATGCTGAGGGCCTGCCGAGGAGGAGAGGAGGCCCGGCGCCCCTCTGTGCCCTGCTCACTGCCGAAGGCGAGCTCCGGGGCTCCCGACTGCCTTGTCTTGTTGCAGGTTGGACTGGTCTAACCTGACCCGTCCTTGGCTGAGACGCCGCCAGTTAGGGCTGCAGGCGAAAGACCAAAACTTTATGCTGGAGGACTCCACCTTCTGGATCTTCGGGGGCTCTGTGCACTACTTCCGCGTCCCCAAGGAGTACTGGAGGGACCGCTTGCTGAAGATGAAGGCCTGTGGCTTGAACACCCTCACCACGTGAGTGCTGCCCCCACCCCCGTCCCCAGGTAGGGCTCCTTGCCTCTGTGTCCGGGCTGCTTCTGGGAGCCCAGCCTGGGGTCTCCACCATGTCCGGATGGTGAGCCCTGGCAGATCCTAAACCTGAGCAGCCTCTGAAGAGAGTCTTTGAGCCAGGCTCTGTGAGGAAAACTATAGGAGAGGCAAGCAGCCCGAGCCCTCTGCTGGGTGACGGCCAGACAGCCTCCCTCCCTCCTGCTGCCTCCCGCACTCTCATGGGCAGGGCTGGGAAGACAGGACGTGGCTGAAAAGTCTGGAGGAACAGAAAGAGAGGTGCTGCGCAGAAGAATGTAGTGAAGGAGGCGAGGAGGGTAGAGGGGAGATTAAATTATCACATGGAATCTTTTAACAAGCACTCACCCCCCAATTTATACAGCAGATGAGTGTAGTCTTCTTCAAAATAGCCCCTTGAGAGGCTGTCAGCAGTCTCCAGCATTCCTTTCTGGAATCATCTTCAGGGTGCTGCAGCTTTCATCCCAGCCCCCACCACAGTGATCGGCTCGTGGGGGCACTCAGTAGAATGTTGATGTGAAAATCAGTTAAAACATAGGCTCATTTGTGAAAAATCTTGATTGTTTTGTGGGTTTATTTTTCAGAATTTCCGACAGATATTTGGATCCAAGTCTGTGAAATAAAATGGGTTATCTGGCTGGGTTATTCAAATTTCAGGCGATATTGTATGAGTACATATCAAGGACATGGATTTTCTTGGCTGGTTTATGAACTGGCTTTGAAGACAGTTTCTAAAAAGAGTTACAGGAGTGTTCTGAGCTACAACAGCATGGTTGAAACAAGTGTGTATTCTCTAGAAAGATTACTTAAAGGATCCATTTATTTGCATGTGTAGGTTCTGATCCTGGGGTACATTTACATGTTAGAGGACTCCTGAAGCTTGTAGGAATATTGTAGGATAAACCTTGCCTTCTAACAGCAGGGTAATCTATCTTTCCTTAAACACAGAACTCTTGAGTCTGAACTGGAGGCAAGCAAGCCCCGTTCCCTTTGCCTCTGTAACTCTGCAGTTGGAGGGGGCCCACGAGAAGCCGGGGTGGGGGCGAGTCTAGGAGAGGAGCAGCTGTCATTACTGCTATCGTATGTCACTCCTGCCTTCTGCCTCTTGAGTCGGGTCCCTTAAAGAACTTACTTCATTTCTCATCTTCTGTTTAGAGTTACAACCTCTAGTCTGTTACAAGCTTGAAATTCTGGATGCTTCAGTAAAAAATAGGAATGATGATTAAGATTTTTCTCTTACTGTACTTTTAACTGTTTTTCTATGAAGCTACTTCTTTTTCTCCAATGAAGAGAGAGACGGAGAGATGAGGAGGAGGAAGGGGGAGGGGAGCACACACTCACGCTGACCTGAGGTCAGATCCCACACTGCACCCAAGTCTTCTTGGCCTTCTCTCCCTTCTCCTGAGGAGATGAGGTATTAGTCCCCCAGGGACCTGCTCTGGATTCTCAAAGGCTCCTAGATCTCTTCGATTAGTTCTTAGTTCTGGTCCTGCTGTCATTAAGATAATGTTCTTAAGAAATACATCTTCAACAATCATAAGGGGTTTTAGGAATAAAGAAGGTAATCCGGGAGTTGAAGTGGAAGAGATGAAAAGCTCGGCTTGTAACTGTCTGTTCTATTACAGCTATGTTCCATGGAACCTCCATGAGCCAGAAAGAGGAAGATTTGACTTCTCTGGGAACCTGGACCTGGAGTACGTGCTGTTGCTGCTTCTGTGACCTGGCATGGGGTGGGAGGCGGAGAGGTGGCTCCTTGGGTTGGTTAGGAGCCATGGGGGCATCTGGCTCTGCTTGAGAGCCAGAGAGACTGGGCTCTGGGGCCTCGTTCTCAGGACAGTGGGAAAGGCTCTGCAGCCAGCACTTAGACGCTCTGCAGCTGTGAGCCTGTTACCCCCAGGGGTCTCGGCCTGCTTCTTCCGAGCCAGACCTCTCACTGCCTCCCAGAGGTGCCTAATCCCGGGTGTCAGCACCACTCTGCAGTGTGGCCCAGCCCCGCTGACTGGGACAGTGGTTGCCCCCTTAGGGTAGCAAGGCCGTTGGGGTCAGGTTCCCTGGTGGCCTCCCCTGCACCCTGTGTGATGCCCTCCTCCTCATGTCCCCACTGGGGCTGTGCAGATGTCCTGGGCTGGGAGCTGCATGGGAATCCTGCTCTGCTGGGGCTGGGGCTGCAGCCTCTCCTTCCCTCACCTGTCTCCCTGCTTGGAGAGGAAGGCAAGCGAGGGAGAGGTGGGCAGCTGCGCCACGGTGGGCTGTGATGTGTGCTGGGCTCCTCCTCCGCCTGCGTCTGAGGCCGTGAGAGCTGCTGACGTTGACCTCCCTAGGGCCTTTGTCCTGACTGCTGCGGAGATCGGGCTGTGGGTGATTCTGCGTCCAGGCCCCTACATCTGCAGCGAGATTGACCTCGGGGGCTTGCCCAGGTGAGCGGGGCTGTGAGAGGCTCCAGGTGCAGCTTGCATTGGTCCCTGTGCTTATGCAAAACACTAATCACAAACGTAGGTTTAATTTTGCTTTTAAAGTATATTTTTCCATTCCCCAGTGAAGTTCCTTTTTAGAATAAATGGCATCCAAAGGAGGTCATTTTTTTTTTTTTGAGGAAGATTAGCCCTGAGCTAACTGCTGCCAAACCTCCTCTTTTTGCTGAGGAAGACTGGCCCTGAGCTAACATCCGTGCCCATCTTCCTCTGCTTTATATGTGGGACGCCTACCACAGCTGGGTGTGCCAAGCAGTGCCATGTCCGCACCCGGGATCCGAACCGGCGAACCCCTGGGCCGCCAAAGTGGAACGTGCACACTTAACCGCTGTGCCACTGGGCCGGCCCCCTGAAAGGAGGTCATTCTAAGTGTTGTGACAATCATTGCCTTTGTCCAATTCCGTGTGGCTTTTGTCTGGCGAGCCGCGGGAGCAGGGCTGGCCACCCTTAGGCAGTTCGCCTCATCAGGGCTCTGCTGTGGAGCTGGGGCCTCAGTCAGGCTGTGTACCTGCTCTGGACCTCACTGTCCCTGACTGCAAAATGGCCACAATCATGCTCACCCTGTCTGCTTTTAGGGATGTTACGAAGCATCGTTTTCTAAGTCCAAGTATCTTGATAAAGTATAGGAGTAACAAATTACTGTTTTACCTTTTATCTTCAAGCCTCAGGTCCTGTGAATTATCTTAGGATGTGTAGTCTCTGCTGAGGTCAATAGAGTGCTCTGTGGTTAGAGTGGAAATCCAGACCAGGATCACCTGGTACCACATTCCTTCCTCAGCCTCATCATTATTGCCATTAATTTCCAGCAACAAGATTTTCTTATTAATAGGCATAATCTTCCCCATCCTCACAGTGTTCCAGGTGGTTAGACCCCCTCTCCCCCGACCCCGGCCGCCCCAGGAGGGAGGAAGGCTGGTCTTGTTTGTCGTGCCTTCTCCTGTGGGAGCGGCCTCTCGCCACAGCGCAGCCCCAGCCTCAGCCTTGTTTGTTCTGTTTCCAGGGTGACCCAGCCCTTCCCTAGGGGGCACAGGTAGGCCCGTCTCCGTCTCCTCCACCACTGGGGATCACTTCTCTGCCGCTCTGCTGTTCAGCTTGGCAAGTGTGCCTTCCCCAAGCCTGCATACAGCCAGAGTGGCCTCCCCCACACCTGGGGATTAAATCTGTGTGCAGCACTGTCCTCAGGCCCAGCTGCAGCAGGCGCAGCGGAGGACAGGATCTCAGTCTCAGCTCAGAAGTGGTGGGAGCTGCAGCACTCAGACCTCCCTGTGCTGTTCCGTCTGTCCAGGTCCTGGTCGCATCATTCGGCACACCCCGGGGAGGCCAACCTGGGAGCACTGGGAATCAGGCAGGATCTCAGTGGGGAGGACACACCAGGCCTGTTCCATGTGAGATGGAAGGTGGGGTCTAGAGGAAACTGCTCTCTCCTTGTCCACTTTTACCTAACATAAAATGATAATTTTCTGACCCTGTTCAGGACTTCCAAAGCAGGGCAGGAGAAGCATGGGAGCCTTTTGTAAGAAAATATAAGTGTTTTCTCAGAATTTCAAGTGAGAAGGAGAAATACCTTGACTCCAGCTCTGGAACTAATGCTCCATGTTCATCTGGGGAATGTGGTCACCACAGACAGGTTGCAGGAAGAGTTAATCTTGCTCAGCTGAGCTCTGAATCACTGATGCGCGGATGCAAATGCGCGGCCGGCTGTCAGTTTGGAGAGCAGCTGGAGCCCAGGGGAAGCCAGATTAGCCTCTCGGCGTCTGTCTCAGGCTTGTTTTTCTGGGTGACACTGGAAGGTTGCATCTGTGTCCTTCTCCAGTCCCAGTGATTCCTAATCCCTTTGTCTTCACGTGACCCTTTGTAATGAGATCGCAGAGTAAATGCTGGAAGACTGGGCCTGGCGTCCAGTGAAAAGCTTTTCTCCCGCTTGACTGGCAGCCAGACCTAGAGCTGTGAGGCTGGAGGTAAAGCCCCTGCCCGTGCTGGTGTCCTGAGGTAGGAAGCGGTGCTGAGTGCAGGGCCTGGGCTGGGGGCTTTGCTCCTGAGTCAGCTGGAGTAACTTCTGCCTTCCTGGCTGAGCAGAGGTAGTGGGGTGGGAGGGGCCTCCAGACACATTCCCAAGCACCCTGAAGCTGCTGCCTTTCACTCCACCATCCCCTGCCCAGGGCAAACCCACAGACAGTGAAACTAACCCCCCGCCCCTTTTCATTCAAGCTGGTTACTCCAAGACTCTGGCATGAGGCTGAGAACAACGTACAAGGGCTTCACGAATGCAGTGGACCTTTATTTTGATCACCTGATGCCCAGGGTGGTGCCACTCCAGGTAAAAGCAAGCAGCCTCTTTGACCTTCACCTGTCTTCCTGCTGGGAGTAAAGAGGCCAGGTCAGCTCTCAGATCAAGGGGCTCACAGTTCCTTTCAACACGGGACCACATTCTTCCCTGCTGCCTGAGATCCGTCATTGGAGGGGCTTGCAATGGTCGTCTTTTCAGAGCTGCCTGCCTCAGTGTTGGCCTCGGTGGGGCAGTGTGTACGTTGCCCTGCACAGTGCCACAGCTGCACCTCTGGATGCTCTGACGACTGAAAACACCCTCGTGTCCGAGTCGCGGTAGCACAGGGCTCAGCTCTATGCAGAAAGGAGTGGCTATGGGTGGCCCTTGCCTGTAAGACAGCAGGACTTCTTACAACTATAAAATTACAATTGATGGCTTTTTAAGGTACATCCTTCTGCCAAAAAGGTCCTGCATGGTACACATTTATTATTCAAAACATATGTATTAAAATAAATTTTTGTGAGAAAGTATCTTAACATTGCATGTAATAATTGGAAGCAATAAAAAGGCAGAAATGGGAATAATTAACCCAATTGCTTGTGTAAAAACAAGAACAGCGACACTGAGAAATTAGTATACATCAGTACAAATTGCTCTCAGTCAATGGTTTGGAATATTCACAGCATGCATAGATGCGAGGAACTCTTTGATCATTTGTGGGGCAGGCAAATAAAACACAGGACACTCAGTTAAATTTGAATTTCAGATAAACATGGAATAGTTTTTTTAGTATAAATAAGTCCCAGGTATTGCATGGGACATACTTACATTAAAAAATATTCGTGTATATATAAAATTATTTATTGTAAATTCAAGTATAACTGGATGTCTTGTGTTTTTATTTACTCAATCTGGCAGCCCTAATTACGAAAGAAGCAAGAAGCTAGGAAATTATGGGCCTAGATTTTTGCAGGGAAGTTGGGGTTGCCCAGATGCTTCAGTGGGCTGTGGTGGGTTGGGTGGTGGAGGTCGGGGTGGGGTGGTAGGGAAGCCCATGCCATGTCCGTGCCAGGAATATGGGTCAGGGGTTTCCTTAAACATGGAAATGGCATACCAAACCTATGAAAACAATTTTTTTTTTCTGGGTATAACATCATTTTATTTTTTATTGTGATAGAATATACATAAAATTTACCATTTTTAACCATTTTTAAATGTACAGTTCAGTGGCATTAAGTACATTCGGGTTGTTGTGCAAACATCACCACCATCCGTCTCAGGAATTTTTTCTTTTTCCCAAATTGAAACTCTGTCCCCATTAAACACTACCTCTCCCTCCTGTCTCTATGGCCCCTGGTGGCCACCATTCTACTTTCTCTCTCTCGATCTGACCACTCCAGGACCTCATATAAATGGAATCAAACAGTTTTTTTGTCCCTTTGTGACTGGCTTCTTTCCCTTAGCATAATAGCCTCAAGATTCATCCGTTTTATAGCATCTGTCAGAATTTCCTTTTTAAGGCTGAATAATATTCCATTGTCTGCATGTACCACATTTTGGTTATGCATCCATTCATCAATGGACAGTTAGGTTGCTTTTGGCTATTGTGAATAATGCTGCTGTGAACATGGGTGTACAAATATCTGTTTGAGTCCCTGTTTTCACTTTTTTGGATATATTCTCAGAAGTGGTATTGCTGGATTATATGGTTAGTCTGTATTTAATTTTTTGAGGAACTGCCATACATTTTCCACAGCTGCAGCATTCTATATTCCCATGGGCCGTGCACAAAGTTCCAGTTTCTCAGCATCGTGGCCCACACTTGTTTTCTGTTTATTTGGTAAAAGTCATCCTAATGGTTGTGAGGTTAGATATCTCATTGTGGTTTTGGTTTGAATTCCCTAATGATTAGCGATGTGGAGTATTTTTTCATGTCTTTACTGGCCATCTCTGTATCTTCTTTGGAGAAATATCTTTAAGTTCTTTGCTCATTTTTTAATCGGGTTGTTTGTGTTTTGTTGATGTTGAGTTGTAGGAGTTCTTTACACATTCTGGATGTCAGTCTCTTATCAGATACATGATTTGCAGATATTTTCTCCCAATTCCAAGGGTTGCCTTTTCACTCTTGTTGATTGTGTCCTTTCACGCATAGAAGTTTTTAAAGTCCAACATATCTGTTTTTTCTTTTGTTGCCTTTGCTTTTTGTTCCATGTCCAAGAAATCATTGCCAAATCCAGTGTCATGAAGCTTCTCTCCTATGTTTTCTTCTAAGGGTGTTCTAGTGTTACCTCTTATGTTTAGGTTTATGATCTGTTTTGAGTTAATTTTTGTATATGGTGTAAAGTAACAGTCCACCTTCGTTCTTTTGTATGTGGATATCCAGTTTTCTCACCACCATTAGTTGAAGACAGCTGTTCTTTTCCCATTGAATAGTCTTGGCACCCTCATTGCCAATCATTTGACCATAGTTGTGAGAGTTTATTCTTTGGCCTCTATTCTGTTCTGTTGGTCTATATGTCTGTCTTCACGTCACTACTCCACTGTTTGGTTACCGAAGCTTTGTAGTAAGTTTTGAAATCAGGAAGTGTGAGACCTCCAACAATGTTCCCAACATTGTTTTGGCTATTCGAGGTCCCTTGAGATTCTATATGGATTTTAGGTAGGATTTTTCTTTCTTTTTTTTCTGTTTTTAGGAAGATTAGCCCTTAGCTAACATCTGCCGCCAATCCTCCTCTTTTTGCTGAGGAAGACTGGCCCTGAGCTCACATCCATGTCCATCTTTCTCTACTTTGTATGTGGGATGCCTACCAAAGCATGGCTTGACAAGTGGTGCTAGGTCCGCACCTGGGATCTGAACCGACGAACCCCGGGCCACCAAAGCAGAACGTACGAACTTTACCGCTGCGCCACTGGGCTGGCCCTCGGATTTTTGTATTTCTGCAGAAACATCGTTGAAATTTTGATAGGGATTGCATTGACTCTGTGGATCACTTTGGGTAGCACTGACATCTTAGCACTATTAAATCTTTCAATCTATGAACACAGGATGCCTTTCCATTTACTGGTGTCTTCTTTAATTTCTCTCAGCAGTGTTTTGTAGTTTTCAATGTAGAAGTATTTTATGTCATTGATTAAATTTATCCCTAAATATTTTAAGCTTTTTGATGCTATTGTAAATAGAATTGTTCATTGGTAGTGTATAGAAACAGAATTAAATTTTTTGTGCACTGATTTTGTTTCCTGCAAATTTGCTGAATTTGTTTATTAGTGCTATTAGTTTTTTTGTGGAATCTTTATGATTTTCTACGTATAAGATCTGCAAACACAGATAATTTTACTTCTTCCTTTCCAATTTGAATGCCTTTATTTTTTTGCCTAACTCCTCTGGCTAAAACTTTCAATACTATGTTGAATAGAAGTGGCGAAAGCAGGAATCCTTGTCTTTTTCTTAATCGTAGAGGAAAGGCTTTCAATCTTTCACCATTGAGTGTGAGATTGGCTGTGTGTGGACTTTTCATATATAGCTTTTATTATCTTGAGATAGTTTTCTTCTATTCCTAGTTTGTTGAGTGTTTTTAGTATGAAAGCAAGTTGAATTTTGTCAAATCTTTTTATGTGTCAGTTGTGATGATCCTGTGCTATTTTTCCTTTATTTTGTTGATGTGGTGTATCACATTGATTTTCATTGAGTTGTCCTTGCATTCAGGAATAAATCCCACTTGTTCATGGTGTATAATCTTTTTAATATTGTTGAATTCAGTTTGCTAGTGTTTTGTTGAAGATTTTTGCGTCAGTGTTCATCAGGGATGTTGGTCTGTGGTTTTCTTCTATGTAGAGTCTTTTTCTAGCTTTGGTAATACTTCATGGAATGAGTTTGGAAGTGTTCCCTCTTTTTTGATTTTTCTTGCAAGAGTTAGAGAAGGATTGGTGTCAATCTCCTTACTAGTTACAGATCTATTTGGATTTTTTGTTTCTTCATGATTCAGTCTTGGCATGTTGTGTGTTTCTAGAATTTGTTTATTTCATCTAGGTTATTCAATTTGTTGGCATACAATTTTTCATATTCCTCTCTTATAATTCTTTTTATTCCTATGAAATTGGTAGCAACACCTCCTGTTTTGTTTTTGATTTTTAGTTATTTGAATATTTTCTCTTCTTTGTTAATCTAACTAAAGGTTTATCAACTTTGTTGATCTTTTCAAAGAACCAACTCTTGGTTTTTCTGATTTTTCTCTATTGTTTTTCTAGTCTCTGTTTTTATTCTGCTCTAATCTTTATTACTTTATTTCTTCTGCTATGTTTGGGTTTAGTCTGTTTCTCTTTTTCTAGTTTCTTAAGATGAAAAGTTAGCTTGTTGACTTGAGACCTTTCTTCTTTAATGTGTTTACAATTATAAATTTCCCTCTTAGCACTGCTTTCACTGTATCCTGTAAGTTTGTTTTGTTGTGTTTTCATTTTCATTTGTCTCAATATATTTTCTAATTTCCCTGTGATTGCTTCTTTGAGTCACTGGTTTTTTAAGAGTGTGTTGTTTGATTTCCACATATTTGTGAATTTTTCAGTTTTCTTTCTGCTGCTGGTTTTTAGTTTCCTTATATTGTGATTGGAAAAGATACTTTGACTTCAATCTTTTAAAACATTTATTAAAACTTGTTTTGTGGCCTAACATATGGTCTATCCTGGAGACTATTCTGTGTGCACTGGAGAAAAGTGTGCATCGTGCTGTTGTTGGATGGAGTGTTCTATATGTATTTGCTAGGTCACATTGGCCTGCAACGTTGTGCAAGTCCTGTGTTTCCTGATGGATCATCTGTCTGGTTGTTTTATCTATTATTGAAAATGGGATATTGAAGTCTCCCGCTATTACTATAGAGATGTCTTTTTTCTCTTCAGTTCTTTGAATATTTTCTTCATATATTTTGGTACTTTGGTGTTCGATGCATATATGTTTATAATTGTTATATCTTCTAAATTGACCCTTTTATCCTTATGTATAATATATATTATGTATTTATGTGTATATAAAATGTAATGCCCTTTGTCTCTTCTATCAGTTTTGACTTACAGGCTGTTTTGTTTGCTCTTAGTGCAGTCATCCCTGCTCCCCTTTGGTTACTGTTGCACAGAATAGCTTTTTCCAGCCTTTCACTTTCAACTCATGTGTGTCCTTAGCTCTAGAGTGAGTGTCTTGTGGACAGCATATGGTTGGATACTGTTTATTTGTCCATTCTGCAAATCTGCTTGTGGTTGGAGAGTTTAACACATTTACATTTGAAGTAATTACTGATAGGGAAGCATTTGCTTTTGCCATTTTGTTATTTGTTTTCCGTATGTCTTGCCATATTTTTCTCCCTCATCTCCTCCGTTACTGCCTTCCTTTGTATTTAGTTGATTTTCATAGTGACAAGCTCTGTTCCCTTTTCATCTCCTTTTGTGTATAGTCTATAGATGTTTTTGTTGTGGTTACCAGGGGGATTACATATACTGTCCAAAAGTTATGACATTCTATCTTTTTTTTTTTTTTTTAAAGATTTTACCTTTCTCCTTTTTCTCCCCAAAGCCCCCCAGTACACAGCTGCATATTCTTCGTTGTGGGTCCTTCTAGTCGTGGCATGTGGGACGCTGCCCCAGCGTGGCTCGATGAGCAGTGCCATGTCCGCGCCCAGGACCCGAACCAATGAAACACTGGGCCGCCTGCAGCGGAGCGCGCAAACTCAACCACTCAGCCACAGGGCCAGCCCCTATGACATTCTATCTTATATTGATACTAGCTTAACTTCGATCGCATATAAAATCTCTACTCCTTTATAGCTCCTTTCCCCCTTTATGTTATTGATGTCACAAATTACATCTTTAAATATTGTGTACCTATGAATATAGATTTATAATTATTTTATGCATTTGTCTTTTAAATCCTCTAAAAAATAGGAGGCAGAGTTATGAACTAATATTGTAATAACACTGGTTTTTACATATTTACTTTACCAGAGAACTTTCATATGCCTTTCATGTCAATGCGAGGGACTCCATCTAACATTTCTTGTAGGGCAAGTTTAGTGGTAAGGAACACCTTCTGCTTTTATTTGTGTGAGAATGTCTTAATTTCTTCCTTGTTTTTAAAGGACAGTTTTGCTGGATTTGGAATTCTCAATTGTTAGTTTTTCTCCTTCAGCAGTTTGTGTCATCTCACTGCCTCAGTTCTGCAAGGTTTCTGGGAAGACATCCACTGATAGTCTTTACTGGGGGTCTTTGCAAGTCACGTTTTCCTTTGGTTCCTTTCAAGAATCTCTTCGTCTTTGTCTTTTGACAGTTTGGTTATAGTGTGTTGTGGTGTGGGTCTCTGGGTTAAAGCTACTTGGAGTTCATTGAAGCTTCTTGGACTTGTATATCTGTGTTTCCTCAAATTTGAGAGGTTTTCTGCCATGATTTCTTCAAATAATCTCTCTGCTTTTTTCTTTCTTCTCCTTTGGGGTTCCCATAATGAGTTTGTCTACTTAGTGATGTTGCATAAGTCCCTCAGACTCTGTTCACTTTTCTTTATTCTTTTTTCTCCTTAGATTCAATAATTTAAAATGACTCTGTCCAAGTTCACCCATTCTTTCTTCTGCTTGTTTGAATCCGTGGTTGAACTGCTATGGTGAAATTTTCTATTTAGATGCTGTCGTTTTTAGCTCCAGAATTTCTGTTTAGTTCTGTTTTGTGGTTTCTGTCTCTATTGCTATGCTGATTTTGCTCATGTATCCTTTTCTTGAGGCTTTGTCCGTGTTTTTCTTTAGCTCTTTGAGCATATTTGTGACAGTTGTTTTAAAATCTTCGTCTAGTAAGTCTACTGAGTGCATTTCTTTATAGGCTGTGTCTGGCGACAGATTTTGTTGCTGTAAATGGGCCCTACTTCTCTATGTCTTACACGCCTTGTGCTCTTGTTGAAAATGGGGCATTTGACATAGTGGTCACCGCCCCCAGTCTTTGTGGGCTGGCAGGGAGCACCTTCACTGTGTAGCAGGCTCTGAGCCTTGAGATCGGCCCAAAGTGAAGGCTTAAGATCTTCTCAGATATTTTTGGGTATGTGTCCTGTCTGGTCTGTGTGTGTGCTTTTTTTTTTTTTCCTCCCAATTTCCCTCGACTGCTTTTACATGTTTTAATTTCCCAAAGAGTCTCATTCCACCTTTTTCTTGTGGCCTTAGATGTTCTATTATATTCCTCTGCCTGTAGTCCCTTGCCCTGAGGCACCCATGGGTCTGTAATCCCTCGGAAGTTTTCACATGCAGCTTCCAGGCTGAGGTCCAAACTATGCCAACATTTCCTGTCTGAGCTCTAATTCAAATGAGACACAAACTAGTTCACTGGGCAGCCCAAAGGTAGCCCAGAACATTTCAAACAAGTTCTGTTTTGCTCTTTCTGTCCTGAGGGAGGGAACTGGTAATTGGGGTGCTTCTTTCTGACTATGCCATGCTATGCCGGTGGGCAGAGCGTGACAGGAGAGTGAAAACACCATGAAATCTGCTACCATTTTGAATGTGTCTTTTTCTTGATTGGGTATTCACTTGTTTGCTCAAATGTTTGACTGTTTTCCAGACCTCCTGTAAAGTTACTTTAGTCATTAGGTGGTTTATTTGATGTTTCTGTAGGGGAACAGGGCCTGGAGCTTCCTACTGCACATCATACTGATGTCATTCTCAATTATATACCAAACCTTTTGAGACTTTTGCTTTTAAATGGAATGTTTTGCTAGTAAAACATGGTGGTGTAAAACACTGGTGATAAGTGTGTTGAAATTAGATAATATAGTTCCCACTACAAACTCAGCTTCTGATTGCTTATCTCTTTTCCCCAGTACAAGCATGGAGGACCCATCATTGCTGTGCAGGTGGAGAATGAATATGGTTCCTATAACAAAGACCCCACCTACATGCCTTACATCAAGAAAGTAAGAATCAATTCAGTTCATTTCTTCGTATTGCTTCCTCTGGAATGTATTATGGGCTATGGTGTGACATGGGGGTCTAATACTTTTCTCATATTAATACCATGTCTCCCAGCACCATTTATTAATTAGTGAATCCTTTTTCCATACTTTCATTTCAACAGGGCTGTCACTTATTTACCCTATGTTGATGGAGTTTATTTGGGGATTGCAGTACACATGTGGTGTTGCAGGGGCTGAGGATAGAGGAATTGACTGAATTGAGTGGTGATTAGAGAAGTCTTCCTGGAGAGGCTGCTCTCATTCCAGCATCTAAAGTAGCGGTTCCCAGCTTTGGCTGCACGTTGGCTTCATCTGGGGAATTTTTAAAAATCCCTATGCCAAGATCATATACCATACCAGTTAAATAAGAATCTCTGGGGTGATACTTTGACATCTGATTCCAATGTGTGGGTGAGGTTGAGAACCACTGATTTAATATTTGGCAAATGAGGGATGGGCAGGGCTTGAACAGGCTAATACTCAGATCTGGTTTCTTAGTAGCTGAGACTTTGAACAAATGCCTTAATTTTTCTAAAGCTCCATTTTCTCTTCTCTGGAGTGGGACTAAAGAGAATATTTGCCTCTCTGAATTGTGTGTCTATGTGAGGTCCCATAATAGGCTCAGTGCTGTTCTAGACATATAATAAGTCAATAAATGAGACCATGACAGAATCATTGGCATTGGTTTTGGAGTACTTAGAAGAGTTGGCCATGGTGTGAGCTGAGGAAATGTTAAGTGGCCTCAGTGAATTTATTTAATTAAAGCCGCTTCAGCTTTGGCCCTCGATGTCCTAGGCAGCATCCCATCTGCTGTCACAGGCAGATTCATTTTCCATCTGGAAGTTACTTCAGTCTCTACAGAGGGGTAGACCGAGGCTCAAGCGCTTCAGCCTCTAGGTTCTTATCTGCTCGTCCCCCTTCTCCTGCGGTGCAGAACGCCCCTGCGCAGGGAGCAGGGCTCTCTCTAGGAAGTGTGGCATTCCTGAAGCTGAAAGGGGAGAGTTCAGTCCTGACAGTCGAGTCCAGCCACAGCCTGGGCTACGTCACCCCTGCAGCTTCCTCTTTGTCTCTGAATCAGCTCGAAAGGTCTCAGCCAGGGCATGGGGCAGGGCAGCTTCTCCGGCTCCACCTCGGCCTCTCAGTCTGTCTCTTGAGTGCTGGAGCTTCTCCAGCAAGTGCTGACTGAATTACTGAGCTGCAGAGGAGGAGCGCTCCCCTGATGGGAGGAGAGGAGAGTGTAGCCCCTTCTGTGACCGGTCCTGCTCAGTCACACCTCCCTGGCATCTGGGAAAGGTATCTGTGTGTGACACATGTGGACACTGAGAAGCCCCAGTGCCCAGCGTCTGTCACACTGAAGCTCTTGGGAGCATCCCCCTGAGCTGCCATGCAGCTGTTCCTGGGCTGTTGTGGACATGTGGACACCGTCAGCATAGGACGACACTGGGCCAGTCACCTCATCTTTCTGAGCCTTAGTTTCATCATGTGCATGATGGAGACAAGAATGCCTTTCTCTGAGTTGACTGTGGGAATGTGGAGGGATAACAGGCACCAGGCCCTTGGCTGGTCACTGGTGCTCATCCCTTACAGTGTGCAGTCAGTAAATGAACGCCTGTGCAAAGTCCAGTGAGACTAGTACAGCTGTAAAAGTTGGCCATTGTCCCTGTTTGCACCCTCCCAGCCCACGTGAGGCTTTCCACATAGGGCAGGAACCTAAGCAGTGTTTGTTAGATGCCAGTGAGTGACTGGTTGGAGAGCTGTGAGGTGGTGGACCTCACCTTGCCTGACAGATTAAACTACAGCTTCTGGTGTCCCTGAGAATTGGACCCTGTTCTTTCCTCACCAGCATCCAGGGGCAGACGGGAGCTTTGTTCCCCCACTGGATCACCTCTCTGCCTCCCCTATTTCCAAAAGAATCTAGTTGAAATAAGCAGTCTTGTCATAATATACGTAGGGAAAATGATAGGAAAGTACCCCTTGCTGGGGCTTTTGATCCAAAAGAGCCCACAGCCCCAGAGCAGAGCCTTTGAATGGTGACAGACTGGGCTCAGGTCCATCTGCCATCAGCTCTGATTCCCACAGCACTTCTGCAAGCCTCTCTGAGGCTCTTCATGTGTACACTTAGGATGCTGCCTGTGAAGACTGAATAGGGTGGTCTGTGCGCAGTGGCACGGCAGTCCTGCCCATAGCTATGCGCCGTTGTCCTGAATGGTGAGGCGCATTACCCCCACACAGCGTGTTCCTTGCATGTCTTCATCGTCAGATTCTCTGCCTTCACGGGGCACTTCCTGTTCTACTGGGCCTGCGCCGGCACCATGGGCATGTGACTGTGGTGTGGCTGTTGACCAGAGCCTAGCCTGGTGTGGGGAAGGGAGGGGCTGCTTGTTTCTGGTGCGGGTGAAGGGGGAGCTGCCCTGGAGGCCTGACCCACTCCCGGAGCCCTCCTGTCAGTGGCTCGGTGACAGCATGGCCCCTGGCCTTCTGAGCTGGCCTCTGAGCAGACCCCTCTAGGAGCAGCACACTAGCCAGACCCAGCATCTTGCCAGATTGGCAGTAGCTAAGGGCTGCCAGAGCCTGACGGCCTTGCCCCTGCCGCTGTAATTCAGGCTGATTGGAGCTTTGTCGAACATGGCGGGCACAGACAAGGTGGTTTTCTCTCCATTCTCTGCAGAGAAAGAAATGCTTTATTTTGAATCTCTCCCCTTTCTCTTCTGGCTGCTGCAGTCCCAGTGTGGGGCCAGCAGAAGCTGTGAGGAGTGGCAGACTTTGAACTCTTTTATCCCCACAGGCTTTGGAGGACCGAGGTATTGAGGAACTGCTCTTGACTTCGGACAACAAGGACGGCCTGAGCAGTGGAGCTGTTGATGGAGGTGCCTTCATGGGGCCACGCAGGGCCAGGGGGTAGTTCCCTGGCCTGGCTGTATACACTCCTCCAGACAGCCTGAGCCACGAGTGGAGTTTCTCTGAGGCCTGCTCGTCTGTTTGCATGGCACTGGCCCCAAAGCTCTGGGCCTCAGAGGGCTGGACAGTCCGTGACAGAGACGGACTTGCCACAGCCAACTCTGTAGCTGGTCTCCCATTTCTGTCGAGCGCTCTGGATACTAACAGTGCTCCGCAGACTGCAAGACGTGGGGAACGGCAAGTTGGGCCCCTGAGAAGGTCTCTGAATGTTACAAAGAGGGCTGAGCAGATGAAGCATGGAGCATACTGTGAGGATGGCTTTCCCAAATCCTGCCAGAATTGTAGAGATGACTGACCACTTGCCAGCGTCAGTGTGGCCCCCACAGTGAAGGACAGTTGGCTGGGCAGAGAGTGCACAGTCAATAACCATGGCAGTGCTCCATGCACCAGCATCCGTGCCCCTTACTCTGCCTCTCTTCCCGTTAGTGTAGACGCACTTGCCCCGCTCCTGATCTGCCCGGCCGCTCCACACTGCACTAAGCCCCTTCTTCTCTCAGCTGCTGCAGGGCAGCGAGCCCCTACTGCCCCTCACTGTCCAACCTTCTTTCTATTGGACCGTTCCTATCTGGGTAAAAACTTGTTGCTAGTTCTCCCTTCTAAAAAAGATCTGCTGATTCATTTTCCTGTGCAGAGGCTGTTCTCTTTCTCTGCTCCCCTTTCAGCACGTCTCCCCTGTCCATGCTCATGGCCCCTGTTCCTCCGTCTCCGTCTCTGTCAAAGCACAGTGCTGCGCCACCACCCTCGCCATCCCACTGGCGGTGCACTGTTCCCGGTTGCTAGTGACCCCACAGTATCAAATTGTTAGTCCTCGTCGCCTCTGATTAGATTTTAGTTTTCAGCAGCTATCAATCTCTTTTTCTTGAAAATTTCCTCACCTGGTGTAAGGGACACAATTTCCTGGCTTTTTCTTGCCCTCATGGGCAGTTCCTTCTCGGTGTCTCCTGCTGGTCGCTTCTCTCTCCCTGAGCTCTGATGCTCACAGTCCTTGTGGCTCACTCCTTGGAATGAGTGCTGCTCTTCTCTCGGTACGCTTACTGCCCTCGTGGTGTCATCCAGATGGCTTTAAATGCCATCTCTGTGCTGATGAGTCTGAGGCATGCATCTCCATCAGGGACCCTTCCTGAACTCCTGCCTTCCATGTGCCTCTCCTCCTGAGCACGGCCCTGGGAAGGCCACCAGTCTCAGTGGAACCAGTGGGAACTGAACTTGTCTCATTCCCTCCCAGAACCTGCCCCACTTTCAGTCTTCTTTTCTCAGTAAATTGTAACCTCATTGCCCACTAATTCTGCAGGCCCTAACCCTTGTAGTCACTCTAGACTCAACTCCTCTCTCTCTGTATGCCTGACACATGGCCATCAGCAAATCCTTTTTACCTTTAGCTTTATCTTCAAAGTTTATCTGGTATCCAAATAAGTTTTACCACCTCAGCTATTACCATCATTTTTCATTTGCAATATTGCAACAGCATTGGAACTGACCTCCCTTTTGTTCGCTATTCCCTCCCCAAGAACTCCTCTGTGTGCCTTGAAAGTATCACTCAGATCATCTCGCGCTGGCCTGAACTCCAGGCATACCTGACCTACTCAGAGTGAAGTGCACATTCTGAGAATGGCTGCCAAGGGCCTCCCCAGCGGCCTCTGTGCCCTAGCTGGCTGCCTCCTGCTCTCCTCTGGCCCACTCTGCTCCACCCCCCTGGCCTCCTTGTTGTTGCTAGAACGTACTCCACGCCCCCAGCCTTCTTCCAGAGAGCTGTGGAGTTGTCCCTCCAACTCCCCTCCGAGGTCGCCTAGAGGTGAGGCTTCCTCTGAAAATTGCAGCTTCTTCCGGAGCTCACCCAGCCCTTCTGCCTTGCTTTGTTTTTGCCTTCCAACCTTCCAGAGTTTCTTTGTTTTATTTACCTGTTTCAGGCAGCAGTAGGCTCTGCCAGGCCTGGCTTCTGTCTGTCTGGTTTGGCTGTGCTCCCGTGCCTGGACACGGTGTGCGCACCGCAAGGATGACCCGTCCTGAAGGGTCTTCCTGCCAGCTGCCTTCCTGGGCTCCCACGCCGTGCCTCTGCTACGTGGGCACGCCGCTCTGTATTGTCCCTCCTGCTTTCCCTCCCCTAGCCCGAATGGCTGGAAGATAGCAGCTTTCCTCCCTGAAGCCCTAGGCCAGCGCCTGGTGTGCGGCTGCCACTCAGAATGACTGCTGGATGAGTGGGCGGCAGCGGCTCTGGTCCCCAGGCAGAGCGAGTTCCTCAAGGAGCCAGATCCCAGCTCCCGAGGAGGACCGGCAGTGATTCCGTGCGTCCACGCGGTGGCACTGTGTCCCTGCGGCTGCCCCGGGGGCGCACCTGTGCGGGGTGGGGCCTGGGCGGCTGTGGCCCTGCTGGAAGGAAGACCCTTTTATAGCGCCAGCAACCAACGTTGGGGAGGAAAGCGTGGCGGTGGGTCGGAGTCTCCAAGGCCCCTGCTGATCTCCATGCCCCCTCCACTGCAGCGCCCCCTCTGAGAGCTGCCTGCTGCCCAGGCTGCCTGGAATGATTTCTCTCAGTTAATTAAAAGTGTAATTGAAGGAACGCATTTACAGGATCTAAAAGTAAAATAATGGAAATGCTTGTAAATACGGTGTGGCCTGCCTCCTCCTCCCTCTCGCCAGAAATGATCATTTGAACCCTTTAACTTTTTCTTCTGGTGTTTTTCTCGTAGTTCTTAAGAATGGGCATATAGAACTCTATACTTATTGATTTAAAATTCCACTTACTGCTGTCTTGTTGCATTGAGGGTTTAGTCCTCTCTCGCCACCCTGGGCCCGCGGCTTCCCCTCCTGCCCTTCTGCTAGCCATGTGTAGTCAGTGGCCGTGCCATCGCAGGTCACCACCTTCATGCAGGCCCCACGCTGCGTCTGACGTTCTGGACGACGTTTGCAGATTGACTCACTTTCAGGATGCTTAGTTTTCTCTTTCAATGTACTTACCTCATTTGTTTGTCATTTCTTGTAAGTTCTTCGTTCTCTCCCTTTGGTAAATGTAAACAAATCCTTTACCAAAGACCTTCCAAACTCCTATCATGGGTGTTTTCCAGACGCCTGTACCTGTCGGGTTCTAGGTTGAGTCTGGTCGCTGTCTGGGACCGCATTGTCTCTGACCCCACGGCAGCCTGCTGCATAGCGCTACCCAGACTGACCCGTGTCTGCTGTGGAATCTGTTTCCTGGAACTTTGACAGCATTGCTCTCTTATTTCCTAGGATCTGCTCTTGCTGCCGAAGTACGGTTCCATTCTGGTGCCTGATCCTTTTAAATGCCCTGTTTTCTTTTCTCTCCTGTTTCTAGGAAATTTTAGAGTTTTCCTTTTATCCTTGGTATTCTGGTATTTGACAATGATGTACTTTGGTGTCCCTTTCTTGGCACTTTTTTGGATCACTTGAACTGAAACAGGGTCATCAGTGGTGGGACACTCATCATGCATTTCTTTGATATGCTTTCCCTCTTCTCTCTGATCTTCTGGTCATTCCTGTTTCTCATGGATTGGACTCTGATACTGATTCTCTAAGTCGCTTATCTTTTTGATTTTTTCTCTTTATGCCCTTGAGTTCTACTTTCTGAGCAACTTCTTCAGCTTTTGTCTTCCGATCCTTCTGTTACCTCTTGGATCATGTTTTCCTTGAATAATTTCTTTTCTCATAGGATGCTTTTTTAATGGATAATATGGTTCTTATCTCTCTCTGAGGATATTTTACTATTTTTTTTTAACTTTTGCCTGTTCTGCTCATCCTTCCACCTGAGGGGCCTTTCTCAGTTGGTGGCTCTTGCATGGGCAGTTAAGGAAGAGGCACTCTGTGGCCCCTTGGGGACCCCGGGTGGAGGAGAGGCTGTTGGCAGGTGTGCTCCTTTGCAGGGTGGGTGGGCCCTATTGGGCTCTTTCAGTGAGGGAAGCCCGACTGTCAGTGCTGGAGTCCAGAGACGGCTCCTTTGGTCTATGGCTGCAGATGTTTGGGGCGCAGGCTGGGGGTGGGCAGGAGCCCCCTTGGTCAGATTGCCCTCTTTCCCCGCTTCACGTCTCAGCCACACTCTGCTGTGCCCCGTCCCTCCAAGCCTGGAGCCGCTGGGGCTCAGCTTTCCTGGAGAGTGTGGTCCCCTGAGGGGACAGCACCGCTGGGGAAGTGGCTTGAGGGGTGCACGAGGCAGGGGACAGGCGTTCCCCCTGCACGGTGCCTCGGACATGAGGGAGGCCTTGGGTTGCAGGTGGGCAGCCAGTCATAACTTCTTCCTTTCTCTCAGGCTGTTCCCTGCCCTTTTTCAGTCGCTTAAGGCTTTCTTGAAATCTCTTCACTGTTATGCCTCCTCTCTAGTTCTTGTTCCTTATGGCCTTCCACTTTTTCACGCCTTGTTTTTATTTGAGTGGAGTGTCAGGAAGCTAGGAGTAGATGCTGTTCAGTTAGCCATGCTAATCCTGTTGACCTCTGAGATTTCTGCCTGGTCAGTTTCTGACAGGCCTCCTGTCTTCAAGGGATTTCTGCTTTAGTTGAGGGGGGTCTGGATGTAGGGTTCCCCAGTGGGTTGCTGGAGGACAATGACATCACAGAACAAGGGTGGGTATGAGATGGGCCAGGGGCTGCAGTCCTGCTCTGCTGCTCACCAGCAATGTGGTGACCGTGAGGCTTGTTATTTAACCTCCTGGAGCCTCAGCTCTTGTCTGTTTTTAATCACTGGTGATCAGGGGCTTATGTCTGACAGGAGAGCATCAGGGTGGTCAGCTTGCCAGGCCGGCTCAGTCTCTGTCAGGCCTTCCCAGTCTGCTGGAACCCAGGCAGAGGCCGCTGAGTGTGAGCCCACTGCCCAGGCAGACAGGAGGCAGGCAAGGAGCTCCAGAACCAACTGCTGCAGTGGGCTGGCCAGGGGATCCACAGCCATAGGCAAATGTAGCACATCTTTCTCGGCATCCTTTCACTAATGGAAAGCCACTTAAAATATAATTTTAAATTAAAAAATGAACACCATGGGGTAGAAGAGAAAATTAGCCTCGTCAAAGAAATGAAAGTGGAGTCTTCATTTAGGTTGTTACCCCGTACTAGGTGCTTGAGGTGCAAGGAGAGCTCCGACTCTGGGCTCCTGCAGAAGAACAAGTGACAGAACCCACACTCTGGCTGTAAACCCATGTGAATCCAGAACAGATGCCTCGTGAGGGCCTCCCTGTGCACTCTGTGCCGAGGGTGGGATTTCCAAGATGAGCAAGATAAATCTCCTGACATCAGAGAAACCAAACTCTAATTGGAGGTGGGAAACAATGTCAAGCTTAGTTAATTTATTATGCTGGTGAACTGCGAAAGGTCTGGGGTAGTTCAGGAAATCTTCCTGGCTTTATGAGAATGTTCTGTTTCTTTTTTCTTCTTTCCATCCACAGTGCTGGCCACCATCAACTTACAGTCACAACACGACCTGCAGTTATTAAGCACCTTTCTCTTCACTGTCCAGGTGAGTCTGGCCCGGGCCCTGCTCCGTGTGAGTGTAGGAATCCTAGAGGGGAGTGGAGCCTCTGTGTCAGAAGCCTCTGGCGCTCTGGACACCTGCACTGTGCTCGGGGTGCCCCAGATGGGAGAGAAGCGCTGCAGAACCCAGCTCCTGCTGCCCCATTTTGCTGCGCCCGTGGCTGGGGAAGCCGTGTGGACATGCTCTGAGTTGTTGCTGTGTGAGGTGATGCATGAATATGGTTTCCTGCCTCTTGAGAAAGGGCCCTTTTCAAAGCTCTAGGCATGATGCCATCACAGAGGCCTCTTGACTAGAATTCTGTGACTCACGTAGCCCCAGACATGCTCATTTGGGCCCTAGGGATCAAGGGGAGAAACACTGCTGTGCCCTGTGCAGTATATGTCTAACCTTAACCTGTGAGGCCCCTGTGGGCCTAGAAAGATGATTGTCGTCAGTAGGACAGGCAGGCTGACCCATTCCAGGTCAGAGGGCGAGAGGAGTTTCTGGCTGTACCTCAACATCTATCAGGGTGATGGGAATTTACAGTTAAATCCTGTTCTGATCGATTTCTTGTCTCTCAAGTTCATGTGTCTCCCCTAAGGAGAGAGATATGGTCTGACCAAGGCAGCTGCAGCCCATTTGCAGAACTGAGAGACCCGTCTCTCACCCTGTCTTACTGAAGGGTGGGAATGCCCCAATCTGCCAGCATGGGCTGATGGTCATGTTGATCCCTGGTCTAGAGCGAGCTGTTGGAGCGTTCGTGTCACAGGTGGACAGATGCCTGTGGAGGTGCTGGGGTTGTTCTCCATCCCAGCTGTTCATTTGTTAGAGCAGAGGCAGTGTCCTAAGGCACATCCATATGAAGCCATCACAGCAGTGTGGAGCCACGAAGGATGAGGGCCACCTGTGTGTATGGCGTGGCTACTACTGAAGTTTAGAGGCACAAGCAGAACGGGCAGGGAGGTGCGCAGGAGGAGGTGGGACCAGGCGGACCTCACCCCACGCAGACTTTGTGGGGCAGATCTGGAGAGAGACAGCAGGTACAGGTGGGCCCAGATCCAGTCCCTTTCTCCTTTCCTTGCCTCCTCCCGTATTTACTGAGTGCCTGCTCTATGCGTGGGGTGGGGCTGGGCCCTGTTCCTCTGCAGTGACTAAGATGACAGGGTCTCTGCCCTCCCGTGGTTTGTTGCCTCCTTGGGGAGAGACGTGTTAACAAAACAGTTGCCCAGTAACTGATGGGATTGTACAGAGTGCTGCCTAGGAGAAGCACAGGATGCAGTGGCTGCCCTCCGCCCACTGGGGCTGGCCGCCCTGTGCTTCTCTCTCCTCTTCTGTGAGTGGGGGTGCCGATCGTAGCTAGTCAGAGGTTGTTTGAGGATTGAATGAGGTGATACTTGGAAGGCACCCAGCACAACAGTGCTTCACGTTGGCTCCTTCAGGGTCCTCCTTGGAGAAATGGCCACACCCGTGTGCACCAGGCCAGGTCATCCTTTGATCGAGTGGCACTGCTAAAGGCCTTTCTGTTCACAGCTCAGCGATGTTTGCTTTCCCCAAGGAAGGGGAGTTGAGTGCTTCTTTGTTTTGATCAAAGTTGCCTTTGAATGGGGACAACACAGGCCCAGCTCTCCTCCACTTTGGTGTGGCCAACAGCACCTCGCTGGTCCTCCCATCCATGTCAGTGATGGAGAGAACCCACGCGAATGTTTCCTGAGCACTTCCTAAGGACCAGGCCCTGGGTGCCAAGGGCTTTACGTGCATCGTGTCCTTTAGTTCTCCCAGTGACCATGTGTGCTCACTGCTGTTACTACCGTTTTACAGTCAAAGAGACATTTGTAGAAGGGATAAACACCCAGTAAGAGCATGTTAGGGAGGACAGCGGAGCCCCAGCTCCTCACTGTGTGGTGCAGTGACCTGGGCCAGTGGTGGACAACTCCCTGCGTTGGCCCTGGCACCCTCCAGTCATGACAGAGAGCCCCTCATGGCACTGCAGAATACTGACATGTGGCACTTAAGATTGATTCCTCCCTTTTTAGTGACTTAGATGTGGTCCTATATCCCCTTCTTTGGAGGTGGACAGCTGTAAAGAAAACCAAGCCACATATCTTGCTAAGAATTATTGTGACTCCTTTGGCCTTCCTCTGCTGTGGCTGGTCCCTTCCACTCAGTGGACTGTGAATCTTCACCCTGGGTCGGACTTTATTGCCCTGTGGGCACTTGCCTTCGAAATGTGAAGCCGTCACTGACAGAGACGGCCTGTGCGGAATGAAGAAGGCTCTCTGTGCGGAGCTTGAAATGCAGCCTCTCAGTCCTTCCACCTCCCCCAGGTGCTACGGTGCTTCCACACACAGGGCAGAGTAGAGCCTGGTCCCTGGAGTGATTTCTGCATCCTTGGGACAATCCTGTGCAAAGTCAGTGTTCTGAGGCAATAGTAAAGTCTTACTGAATGTCCCAGCCAAAGTATGAAGCCAGACATTGTGGCTGCAGAGCCTGCACTGTGAAGGGCTGGGCTGTGATGCCCTCACTTCTTGGCTCTTAAAGAGAGGCCCACTCAGCAGCTCTCTGACTCTTCCTTCTAAAGGAAGCAGCACCTGAGGGGCCTGTGTCCACGGTGTACCTCTCAGAAGTGGAGTTATCCTGACAGAACATTCTCCTTCCCTGGAAATTGATAGGGTTGGCTTGATTCAGAACAAACCCCATGTAGGAAGAGACTCTGAAAGCAGGTGCTGAGTTCTCACGAAGACTGACTTTGAACACAGCCCTGTGTTTTCGTGCTAGCGCTGTATGCAATGTTGAGCCACGTCAAGGCAGCAGGGCCACTGCAGCCACCTTGGTGGCCTGTTCCACCCCGTCCTGCAGGGTGGAGGCCGTACATGGAGGAGAAGCCGGTGCAGGTGTACTTGGTGCATGTCTGTGCTCTGCTTCCCATGGCCTCTAAGGCAAGGGGCTTGCAGCCGGGGAGGAGTTGGGGGACAGAGGTGCTGGCATCCCCTCCAGGAAGAGCTTTCCTCTGTCTCTCTTGACCAGCTAACTTCTCATTTTGTGGTGCCCAGGGGGCTCGGCCCAAGATGGTGATGGAGTACTGGACGGGGTGGTTTGACTCGTGGGGAGGCACACACAACATCCTGGATTCCTCTGGTGAGTGTTTTACAGTACCTGCCTCCAGCATGTGTGTTGACTGAAGAGGTAGGAAGAAGTTCCAAATACCCTGCTAACTGATGTAGACTAGCTGGTGGGTGCAAGCCTCCTGGGATTGTTTGCATGTAATAGCTCATATTTTCCAGAGCCATTTGTCTTGACATTTGAAGTGAACAGTAGGACTTTTGACATTGCTTTATTATGTTTTCGTAATTAGATAAGTAATGTGTGCCTATTGCAAACATCCAGCAAATACAGAAAATATATAAAGAAGAGATAAAAACCCCAGAGCCCAGGGAAGACCTGGGGTGTGCAGTGTAGGCCGCTCTCTGTCTGCAGCCCCACGTGCACATGGAGAGATGTGGACAAATGCAGGCACATCTGCTCCTCGTCACCTGCTTGTGCCAGTGAATGACATAAAAGACAGCTTTCTATACTGTTAGATATAGATTCCATCACTGTTTTTAAGAATGGAAAGAACTCCATGTATTGGTGACGAAAGCACAATTCATTTACCCACTCTCTTACTGATGAACACTTAGGTTGTTTTCAGTGGTTCTTTTTAACTGAACGCCATGTCAGTGAGCATTCTTGAACATCCAGTTTTGCATACCTGGCATATTATTCCCGTATAAGTTCCTAGCAATAGAAGTACACATTAATGCAATTTTGATATATATTTACTAAACTGCCCTCCAGAATGATTGTAGCAATTTTCACTCACCATTATTCAATGAGAATACATTATTCAATGAGATTCATCAACAATGAGTATTAAGATAATTCTTAATATTTGCTAATCTGATAGGTCATTGTTTAGTTCACATTTCTTTGACCAATACTGAGGTTTTTAAGAAAACATATACATGGATATATTAATTAACCATTTATAGTTCTCCTTTGATACTGTCTTCTTGTGTCATTGGTTCTGATAAAGCAGGGTTGAGGAGGTGGTCAGAACTGCATCTGTAATTCTGAGCGCTGTCTTTCTGTGTCTTACAAAGCGAGAGTAAAGTGGAGAGGTGTGCCAGATGGAGGCAAAGGCTGCTCTGCACAGCGGGTTGTCCGCGTTGTAGTTGATGGAGACCTTACTGACTGAGAAACAGCTGGCAGGCCGAAGCTCAGGGCCGCGGTTCTGGCCCGTCTCTGTTGCTCCTCCTCTGCTCTTCTGTGATGGGGGTTTAGTGGAAGCTGAAGGGCAGAGCGATGCAGTTGGATCTGAGGAGGGGCTGGGAAAGAGGAGACTTACAACTTGTCTCAAACTCGAGGTCACTCTGCATGTTCCCCCTTCTCCCCTTCTCCTGTAGAGGTTTTAAAAACCGTGTCTGCCATCATTGACGCTGGCTCCTCCATCAACCTCTACATGTTCCACGGAGGCACCAACTTTGGCTTCATAAATGGAGCCATGCATTATTATGACTATAAGTCTCATGTCACCAGCTATGGCAAGTATTCCCCATACCTCCCCTCCCCAGAACACCCCAGCATTTGTGTGTCTGGGACGATTTATGGAGAGTCCTTTAGGGACACCTTCTGAGCCTTTAATGCATTTGGCTGTAGAGTGCCTGGGGAAGGGGGAGGTTTGTGTGGATCATCAGTTTTCAACTTCCAGAGCAGGGGGGATGGCAGCCCATGGATGTGCCCGTGAGCCTTTTGGAATTGAGCTGGAGGGAGTGGGAGAGGTGCGGCGGGCAGGTCCTCACATGAGGGCAGCTGCTTCTGCCCACTCAGGCCCTTCCCGTGGCGTGACCCCCGCCCTCCCCTTGACAGTCCTGGAAGGCAGGAAAGATGCCTGGAAATTTAGGGTCATGCTGTGGTCACAGGCAGTTTGGGTGGCACTTTGTACTGGTTGGTATTTGTAGTATTTTGACTGCTGGCTCATACCGAAAGTGTTTGCCTCCCAAATCGCTGGGATAAAGATCCTGCTGCCCGCCCCCAGCTTCTCCCTTTTTGCTGCCACAGACACTGTCCTGGGACATGGGTGACCAGTGACAGCACCCTGGTGTCTTGCAGACTATGACGCGGTGCTGACAGAGGCGGGAGATTACACAGCCAAGTACCTCCAGCTCCGGGATTTCTTCGGCTCCATCTCAGGTACCTGGCCAGCAACAGGCTCCAGCACCACCATGGGCCCTTGCTTTTGCTCTGAAACTCCTGAAGAGTTCTTTCCTGACCACCCCACCTCAACCCCAATTGATCTGTGTGCAAGAATGTCCTGGACAAGGACAGGCGAGTTGAGAGATTAACTGTTTTCATCCTAGTTTGTGTCTTGCTAGCTTTGCCTTTTCATGGGTGCTAAGATTCCTGAGGATATGACAACGCCCTCATCCCCCATGGCATTGCCTTGCTAGCAGGGTCTGGGCCTGTCTGGGAATGGGCCTGTTTTCCTCTTGGCTCTAGGATAGAGGAGGATGTTGGGCCCTGGCTGGGAGCCATGGGTTGCAGAGGCTGGAGGGGCAGTGACTGGGGTCCTTTGGGATGGCCCTGTTGTCTGTCTATGTTGCAGGTACCCCTCTGCCTCCCCCACCTGACCCTCTTCCCAAGACTGCATACGAGTCCGTGACGCCAGCTTTCTACCTGTCACTGTGGGATGCCCTGAAGTACATGGAGGCGGTGAGTGCTGTGGGTAGGGTGGCGGGGCCAGGAACCCCTCCAGACAGCTGTCATGGAGGAAGAGAAAACCAACTCTTGATAGCTTTGAGGTCCACGCTCCAGCTTTAGAACTTGGAGTAAAGAGAATGAACCCAAGGTAGACTATGAAGTGGGAAGGAACTCTTTAGACCTTGAAGAAAAACTGGATCACACAGTAGGGATTCCCTTTCTCCAGCCTCAGTGGGCAGAGAGGATGATGAGGGGGCAGGAGAGTGGGCTTCACCCTCCTCTGAGAAGAGGGTGTACCTCCTGTAGCTGACTCAGAGGGGTGCTGTGATGCAAAAATGAGGGTGGCTTAAAAAGCTGAAAGTCCACGAGATGGCAGGTCTTCATTCTGTTGTTATTGCATATCCCTCTTCTCATCCCCCTAATCCTGTGACCTGGAGAGCCAGAGTTAGTGTGAGAAAGAGTCAAAATCAGGATTTTGGAGCTGAGAGCGCCAATCAGCTGGACTGGCTCCACATGTTTGTGAAATGAGACATCAAAATAGAAAAAATCTTAGAGGCCCCTGCCCCACCCCTGCCCCACAGTGTGCTAATTCCCAGGTGGGGATCTGTCTGCTGCCCCACACTCCCCAAGAAGGCTCAAGATGAGGTTGCTGCCTTTGTTCTCCTCTGCCTAGCCCCTGTGCCTCCCCTGTCTTTTTTCTGTACAGCCAATCAATTCTGAACAGCCAGTCAATATGGAGAACCTGCCAGTGAACAATGGCAACGGACAGTCCTTTGGGTACACACTGTATGAGACCACCATTGCCTCATCTGGTGTCCTTAGTGCTTTTGTGCGTGACCGGGGACAGGTAGGAGCATCTCCTCTTGATTCCTGTGGGCTTGTAGTCCTCAAGCCCGACAACAGATGTTTGACTCTCTTTCCTCTCACAAATCTGGCTGTTCCCAGTGTATGGAGATGGCCCACCACCGTCAGCTCTGTAGTCCTTTTCAGCTGTAATCATGGGCATTCATTTTTCCTCTGTGCCTGGCTAAATGCCCTCCTCAGCACACACAGTGTTATCTCTTTCTCTGCTAAGCAGAGATCCCTCTTACACCTCCCTCCTGTTGACCCATGGGTGCTTTCTGTCTGTTCATTTGGCAGGTATTTGTGAACACGGTATCTATAGGATTCTTGGACTATAAAAGGAAGGAGATCAATATCCCCTTGATCCAGGTTTGTTACCCTTGTGGAGCTGGGCAGTGGCTCACGCCAGCTGCTTCCTGAGTAGATTTGGCAGGAGTCAAAGAGGAAGATTGGCAGACTGGAGGCTTCTTAACCACAGAGCTGCACATGGAAAGAGGGGCAGAACATTGCATTCTGATCACCCTCAGAGCTTAGGGGAGAACTAGGGTTCCACAGAGAAACCCCCAGGTGCAGTTGTGATCTTATAGCTGAGTAATCAAGCATTCATCATCGACCACTATATTCCTGGCAGGGTTACACCACGCTGAGGATCTTGGTGGAGAATTGTGGGCGAGTCAACTATGGGGAGATTGATAATCAGCGCAAAGGTGGGTCACAGCACATGCCGAGGGAAGAACTGCCAATGCTCAGCATGTGCCCGGCTATGCCTCCTCTGTACTAGCACACCAGCAGGCCATGGAGGCAGATTGCAATGAGGTGGGGTTATGGTGGCCCACTGGAGGATGTGGAGTCATAGAGGCCCATTGGAGGGAGGTTGGCCATGGAGAACCCTAACAGTGAGGTAGCTCATAGAAGCCAATTGTAGTGAGGTGGGTCACTCACAGACAACCATTGCAGTGAGGTAGGGTCATGGAGGCCCATTGAAGGGAGGTGGGCTCATGAAGGCCCGTTAGAAGGAAGAGGGTCATGGAGGCCCACTGTAGTGAGGAAGGGTCATGGAGGCCCACTGGAAGAAGGTAGGATCATGGAGGCCCACTAGAGGAAAGTGGGTCATGGAGGCCCAATGGAGGGAAATATGGTCATGGAGGCCCACTGGAGGGAGGTGGGGTCATGGAGGCCCACTGGAGGGAGGTGGGGTCATGGAGGCCCAATGGAGGGAAATATGGTCATGGAGGCCCACTGGAGGGAGGTGGGGTCATGGAGGCCCACTGGAGGGAGGTGGGGTCATGGAGGCCCACTGGAGAGAGGTGAAAGTCGGCCTGAGAGGACCAGCTGGGTTCTGACCTCTTCCTGGTTAACGCTCCCTGTGCATGTTGTCCTCATGGTGAGCACACAGCAAACACTGAGCCAGCCTCTCCACATCTCACTAGGCTGCAGTTGCTTTAGCAGGGGGCTGTCTGCTGGGGTGGTGAGCAGGGGTGGGTGAGGGGCAAGGAAAGGGATTCCCAGAAATCCAGATAAGGTATGTCCACAAATCCAAATCCAAGAACTCCTGTCTTCTTGGGTCTCCACACTGGATTTCTTTTCTTGATCCGCCTTGGAAATGCATTGATGCTCTCCTTTGTGGTGGGGAGGAGGCAGAAGACAAACAGTGAACAAAATGCTCTTGATGCAAGCCGCTCTTGGAAAAGTCTACCAACTCAATTCAGGTTTCTTGGCCTTCTAAATCTTCTTTGCTTAAATTTGTGTCTTCCTTCTTATCCATTTATCAGGATGTGGTTGGTTTCACGTAAGTTGTGAAATAAGAACTTAGAGTAAATGCTACTGTGGTGAGGAGGGCTGATGACCTCCCAGCTCTCCCATGGGTTTGCCTTTGTAATGAAGAAAGCTGCGCAGCCTGTCCTCGTCCTCACCTGCCAGGGAAGCACTGTGGCCCACGGGGGACTCCTGGATCCGGGGGTCAGCCCTCTCCAGTGGGCCTCAGGGTAGCTTCTGGCACTGTCCTGCTCACCGTCTCTTTTCCCTAAACAATCCCCTGCGCTCCTCTCTGGGTTTCAGCTTCTTCCCCCAGGGGCTCCCTCTCCAGGCCCATCCTCACTTCCTGTCTTCTCCTGGCATGGGAAGGGACTGCCTGCTTGAGCCTGTTCCCTGTCCTTGCCTCCCCAGGCCCCTGGCCAAGGTGTGCCCTGGACTCGCACTGTGGAGTTCCTGTCCTCTGGAAGCGTTCAGTGTTTATAAGGCACAGACTTTGTTTCCAGAAATGTGTGTCCCCTAACACACCTGTACCTGCAATTTAAGAGGGTCTGCAGGCCCCATGAAGCCTGTTCACATTCCCCAGCCTGTCCAAATTCCCCCTCTAGCCACTCCGCAGTTCCATGACCTAGAGGACCACGGGAGCTGCTCTGAGACCAACACAGCTGACCCCTCCCCAAGGCACCAATTAATCTCTACTCACGTGTGCACAGCTCCTCAGACTTGGATGCCCAAGTCATACTGCCATTGATTCACAATTTAAATATTTTAGAAAGAAATCTTTAATCCTAGGTCATGTAGAAGATTCCTGGCTGAGTTATTAAGTCTCTTTAGTCTGGGACCCACTGAAACTGACCTTGAAGCCAGTCTAGAACCACTGTGACCTCTTGGTCATCTGTCCTTTTGGCCTCATTTTATTGTGTTGGAATTCTCAGCCCCCAAAAGGGAGCCTCCCCCTCAGAGAGAGGCCAGAGACTGTTCTTGCCCTCTGACTCTCAGCTCTGTCCTCGCCCTCGCTTGGGTTCTTCCTGGCCACATCTAGGACTGGGCACACACTGGTATTACTCGTTCTCATCCTCTTTGGGATTTCTAGGGAAATGCCATGTGATGAGCCCCTTAGGGAGTGTATCCTTCACATCAACTTCCCACATGTGTCAGCCGCAGCCAGGTCTGCTGCCCCGCTGTGGCCATGCCCGTGTTTCCTTGCCTCCTTCTCACAGGTTTAATTGGAAATATCTATCTAAATGATTCTCCCCTGAGCAAATTCAGAATCTACAGCCTGGATATGAAAAAAAGCTTCTTTCAGAGGTAGGTCCCTGCCCCGTGCAGTGTGTGAACTCACAGACAAGGAGCAGGAGAGCCAGGAAGGCCCAGGGCTGCTCTCGCCTTGCCCCTCCTGCCACCCATGTGTAAACAGACCCAGAGCCCAGATGGTGGCAGTACCAGCGCTAGAGAGTAGGGGATCCCCCTGATGCCACCCCGCTGCCCTCCCTGTGCTCCAGTTAACAGGCGGGGACCGGGGCCGGGGGGGTGTGGTCCTCTGGAATTCGATGCAGGACAGGACGCAGATGTGAGAAGGTGCCCCTCCCTCTCTTGTCTTCCTTTCTGGCTGTAGGTTCAGCTTTGACGAATGGAACAAGGTCCCTGAAGCACCTACATTCCCTGCTTTCTTCCTGGGGGCCTTGTCAGTTGCCCTTTCCCCCTCCGACACCTTTATGAAGCTGGAGGTTCGTAGTCCCTCCCTGCCCAGGCTCCCGTCTCCCCTCAGAGGGAGCCCTCTGGACCACCTGTGCCCAGAGCGTCTCTGTCCTTGCGTCCCCTCCTCCGAAGGGGTCACCAGGGCCTCCCTAGGCCAGGCAGAGTGGGCTCAGAGCAGGAGAACCACCTGGTGGTACTTCTCAAGGTCTAGGTTCCTACGTCCAGTCTGAGCCTGGTGCCCTGCCGGGGAAACACGGTGCTAGTGGGGATGGGAGCTGAACTCCCCACTTGTTAACCTCGTGGCTGTCAGCATCGGTTCATCCGGGCCTCCTGGGAGCCGAGAACACACAGCCCGTGTTTAACTGTGTCTCTGCCTTCCCATGTGACTTTATATTCCGTGGCTTTCATGGTCAACTAACCTCTTCCCTACTCTGCTTAAAGGGCTGGGAGAAGGGGGTTGTGTTCATCAATGGCCAAAACCTTGGACGCTACTGGAACATCGGACCCCAAGAGACCCTCTACCTCCCCGGTACCTGGTTGGACCAAGGCATCAACCAGGTGCGCGCACTTGCTGCCCTTCCTTTTCCCCAGGACCCCCTTCTCCTCCCTGCCCTGACTGGCATCACAGGGTTTCCCTGGTCCCAGTCTGTTAAGGCTGGGAGGGCAGGAGGGGGGCAGAGGTGGTGTCCGGCTCCTCTGTGCTCTTCCTTGTGCTGATGAGTGTGGGTCCCTATTCCTTCCAGCCTGGTTCCCAGCTCCCTCCTGAAGGCCCCCTCTTCTGACTCTCAGACAGACCTCCGCTGTTGTCATACCCTAACCCTTCTCTCCCCCAGGTCATTGTTTTCGAGGAGAAGATGGCAGGCTCTGTGATACAGTTCACTGAAACACCCCACCTAGGCAGGAGCCGGTACATCAACTGAGCAGCACCGCCCAGCACCTCCTGTGGTGGGAAGCAGGCGAGCGCCACCCTCCTCCTAGCTGACAGGAGGCCTGGTGGGCCCCTCACACCCTGCCATCAGGAGAGTGCCCTTAAGTAGCAACCTCAGGGAGCCAGGGGGCCCCAGCTCTGCCCATTGCTTCAGTTCAAGACCCTAGCCCTGGGGACCCAAAGAGGAGAGGTAGGATGGCCAGGGAAGGATCCCTTCTTGCCTGAAGTGGCTCTTGACCCGGCTCTGCCGCCCCACTTCCTGCTCTCCTGGGAGAGGACAGGGATGTCTCTCAGGGTGCCTGGGGCCCTCAGGAAAGGCCTGACTGGTTGGCCCGGACTCCTGGACGCTGGCTTGCTCCTTCGAGGTTCTCACCTGGCTCAGCTACCTCCCTTGCGGCCCCTTTTCATTTCTGAAGTAGCGACCTGTCACCACTTGTAGGGGATAGGAAGGGGGTGTATATCCTGATTGGCGTTGTTCTCTTCACACCCTCCTGAGCCTGCTCTGGGACTCTGGGAGGGGCTCCTGCTGAGGAGACTTTTCATTCTCCTTTTCATTCTCACTGATTGCGTCAGATAGGATGACAGCCTGAGCTTAAGAGAAGCAGAAACCCTCGGTTGCTTGTTTCCTGATTAGAGAGTCTGTCCAGGTTTACTGGGTGGGAAGCTCCAGCTGAGGAGCAGATGGAGACCCTCGCAGAAGCCGCACCCTCCCCGGGCCACAGGGGGGTGGTGGCAGGAGGCCTGCTCCAGTGCGCGCCGCCCCCCGGAAGGTTGGGGCCACTGGGCACCCAGCCTGGCGCAGGTGTGCTCCCCTCCCTCTGCTCCCCGTGGCCACGCGAGGGGGGAGGGGCAGCCTGGCCCCACAGTTGTCTGTCCGCTTTGAGGCGCTTGTTCTGGGGATCGAGTCCAGTGGTTTGGCTCAGGTTCACTGTTCTGAATTGCAATAAAGCAGTAGAATTGAATCAAATCTCTTTGGTGGTATTTCTCCAATTCTCTTTGTGCTATTAGCCAGAGATGCCCGCCATGTGGGGTCAGCCTCATATTTAGCCTGGCTGGCGCCTGTGTCCAGACGCTAACTTTACCTATGAGTGGATGACCTGGCCTCTGGCTCCTTCTCATGTCCTCCTGACCTGCGTTCCCCCTGAAGTGTCACCTGGATTGCAGGTGCCCCTGGAGAGGAGAAGTGCAATACAAATCCGTTCTGCTGCTGGTGGGCAGGCGGTAGACCTGCTGGACAGCCACGAGCTCTGCATGTGAGTGAGCTGCAGTGGTGTTTCCTTTAAAAATAGCATCTGGATTCTACTGCCACAAATGATTTATCTTCCATAATAGTCAAAGTCAAATAGCAGACCCCTCCCCAGGGCGGTGCCTGCACCAGGAGCCCACAAAGACAGGGCAGGGAGAGGAGCAGGCCACGGGGCCCCCTGCGGCCCGCCGGCTTGCAGCCTGTGCTCGGCTGAGAAAGGGTTCTGCACAGGTGCAGCTATGATGTGCAGCTGCTGGGCCCCAGAGCTGAGCCGAGTCAGGACAGACAGTCACAGGGGGCTGGGCCCAGGGGTCCCACTGGGGGAAGAGAAATGGAGCTTATTAAAGTGAACGTCATGGACCATGACCAGGGGGCAAGAGGAGGGCAAAGTCCCCAGTTTTGCCGAGACTCAGCAGCTGTTCCTGAACTGCCTTGGAATGGAAAGCCCAGATCTCAGATGTGGGTGGGGCCGGGGCTGCTGGGCATGGCCAGCGCTGGGTCTCGCTGCACCCCAGAGTGTAAGTGGGCTTCTGTTGGAAAATGTGACAGGGAACTGATATTTAAGGGAATCTTACTGTGAATCCTTTGTGAAGCGAAGAATCCCCTCAGATTACTCTCACGTGAATCTGCGAAGATGCCCTGGCCCTTTCTTAGGGCAAGGTCCTCCTGCACCAACTTAATATTCTTGACCTTCTTATCTGCGAAATGACCCTGCAGCAACTCTCCAGAGCACCTGGAAGAGATCGTCCTCAGCTCATTCAAGGCTTGTCCAGACATTCCCACTGGACAGCCTCAGCTCAGTCTCTCTTGAAGACTACCCGTGGTAACCCCAACTTCTAAATGCTGGAGGTCTCCAGACCCATTCTTGGGCCTCTTCTTCCCTCTGTCCACACTGGCTGCAGAGGGCCTCATTGACCCGGGCTTGTCAATAGCCTTGACACTAGTCCTCTGCAGTGTTCGTGTTCATCTCCGTCCGAGCTCTGGGTATACTGGCCACTGTCCACTCACTTCCCTCCTGCACGTGTCTAATGGTCACGTCACACCAAACTCCCCTACTCCCATGTGTCCCTCCTGCACTACGCCATATCTGGAAAGGGCAGTTCTCTTCCGTGTCTCAGATGATTTTGGCTCCTCTCTTTCATATCCCATCCATCAGCAGATTGTGCCTCTTAAACACTTGGAGAACCCGATCACTTTTCTCTGCCCCAAAGCTTGCACCCTCATCTTGCTCGCTGTCATCTTGTGCTGGCATCATTGAGGGAGCTGCCTCCTTGTCCCCTGGCCTGCCCTTGTTCTCTCTGTGCATTGTCAGCACAGGAAGCGGAGTGATTCTTCCAGAAGGCCAGTTAGATCCTGTTGGTCCTCTGCTCCAATCCCTGGAGTGGTTTCCCTTTTCACTCACAGTAGAAGCCAGAAGCTTTCCTCTGGCTCCCAGGATCAATGCATTCTGTGCCTCCCTGCTCCCATGTCTATCCCATCTCCCACCACCAGCCCCCCCCCAACTCCCCAATCTGCTGCAGTCACACTGGCCTTTTTGCTGATCTTTAAACATGCTAAGCACTCTCCTGCTTGGGGGTGAGTTCCCTGTTCTGGAATGCTCTGACCCAGATAATGCATGTCTGTGTGCTGCTCTGACCAGATGTCACCTTTTCAGGGCGGCCTTTCTGACCACCCTACACAGTCAATCAGCTCCTCTCCACAGCTGCTCTGTCTCCCCCACTCAGCCTCATGCTTCTCCTGGCACAGACTGCATCTGGACCACTGGAGATATCTGTTGTCCGGGCGTGCCTCTCCCTGGAAGGCAAGCTCTGTGCAGACAAGTGCTTTGGTTCCTCACTGCTCTGGGTCAGCTCCTAGAATAATGCCTGTTCTTAGACGGCACCCAACAAATAAATATTGGTTGGATAGTTAAAGCAATAAATGAGAATAAAATAAGGCAGGGCTAAGGAGAATTAGGACTGTTAAAAACCATATTTGACTTTTAATTTTGAAAATAATTAAATACAGTTAAATTAAAACAGACCAGATGGTGCAGCTCACCCCAGACTCTGTTCTCTGGACTCCTAGGCCCCAACCTCACTCTTTTGCAGTGGGGAGCAGGGAATGGACTGGGTTTGGAGAACAAATTGTGGCCATGGACCCAATTCTGATTTATCACAAACTCATTCCCAACAAGGATGAAAGCTGCAGTCCACCAAGGTTATAATTATAAATAAATACACATGCAGCTGAGAGGGGATATTAGGTGAAAACAACTGAACTAGCATCTGCCAGAAAAAAAAAAAAAAGAATACCCCATTTTGTTGTTCATTATCAATTTCCTGAAAATGAGCCCTGGGTTTTGGCTGAGAAGGTGGCCTAAGACCAGCCGGGCTGACCTGAGCGTTCAAGGCTGGTTTCAGTGGGTGAGGCAGTGGAGTGCCTGGGCATACACTCACCCATTTGATGGGTGCCCTGGGCCCACCTCCTCCCTCCTGTCCCGTGCCACCCCACCTGATTCCGAGGGGTTGATTTCCAAAGTAACCATCCAAAGACTGAGGTTGGGAAACGTCCTGCAAGGCAGCTCAGGTCCTCAGGGATACCATCCCATCTGATGGTTTCATGACTACTGTGGGAAGTTAAATCCATCTCAAAATAGGCAGCCAATGCTATTTTCTGAATGTTAGGTCTCCCGACTGAGTCCCACCCGCTACACACCAGGAGAGGGTTCTCAGTGGTCCTCAGACAGGTACGGTGAGTTTAAACGGAGTGGGGGCTGTTAGCGGTTAAAATATAAACACCTCTTCAGTAGGCGCGGGCCTTTTCCTCCACTCGGGAGGAAAATTGTGCTTCCAACTTTCAGAGCATGAGTGGGATAACCACCAGGGGGCCACTGCAGTGGCCTGGAACCAGGGAAATGCCTTCTGTCCTGGCGGAGGGGCAGCACGTGCACACCGCTCTCTCCAGGGGAGAGGGGGCGGCGCGCGCACAGGGCTCTCTCTGGGGGAGAGGGGGCGGCTGGACAGGAGGCGGGCGTGCTCTGCATGCTCCCAACTGAGGGACAAGAGAGCTTTTCTTTCCCGTTTTGTGTTTAAAATAGAGTGATTTCCAAAGCAGTGTGTGCTCAGGTCTCCTTTCCCCTCAACGTCCAAATTATCTCTGCCCACTTTCCATCAATCCCTCTGCTAATCCAGAGTCCCCTCCCCCGCTCCCTCCAGCTCCCCTGACCTGGGGCAGGAAGGTGTCCTGGAATTGCCTGGCCTCCCTGCTCATCCGTTCTGGCCCACCCCTGGTCCCTCAAGCCCTGAGGTCTGTGGTCTCCAGGAAGAGGGCTCCTGCCCTCCCCAGTCCCAGCCGAGGCAAGGGGCCCTAGTGCCCGGTGGGCAGTGGGGATGCAGTGCATGGACAGGGCCCACTTGCTTCTAGTCCAGGTTAGTCCATGACCTGTGCTGGCTGGAGGGCCCACCTCCTTCCCTGTGCTGGAAGGAGCAGGCTTGAGGGACGTGGGGCCAGAGGAAGGGCCTCTGCTCCCACCACAGCCTGAGGTATAGGGGGAGCCTGTTGGCAGGCCCAGGCGCCCTTCATGCAGGGTTGGTTGCCTCTTAGGATCAAAGACAGCCTTATGCTCTGGAAACAGGAGCCAGAGGAAAGCCGGAAAGGTATGTCTACTTGGGAGGGAGGGGACGGGGGCGTTCCCGATGCCTGGTGGGGGCTGCTCTCTGGCTTTCAGAATTCCCTGGCCAGGTGTCCCATGTAGTCGTGCTGGGCCGCAGGACCAGGAAGCTCGGGAGGCCACACTCCACTACCAGGGTCCTTTCACCTGCCTCCCAGCCTGGAGTCACTCCAGGGCTTGGGTGCCCTCAGTGTCTGCTCCCACGACCCTGCCAGTGCAGAAGGCTCTGGGGAGGCGTACTGGGGCACCGGCTCACTGGCTGGTGTGGCTTGGCTAGCAGCTGTGCCCCTGGTCATGCTGCATGGAAGAGAACAGCAGGTCTGGGATTCCTGTGCTTGAAGTTCTCTGTCCTTTGTCCTGGCATCAGGCTGGGCTCTCTCTGAAGCCCCCAGAATAGAAAGGAGGGTGATGGTGATTCCTTAGGAGTTTGCCTTGGAGGGACCATCAGCTGTCGGGATAGGATGGAAGGCCAAGAACAGGGTCTGGGAAGGAGGCTCCTGTGAAGGGGAGAGGAGGAACAGGTGAGGCCCGGCAGGGAGTGACCAGTCTGTCCATGCCGCCCAATCCTGAGCCCCCAACAGGGGTCACCCCAAGCTCTGCAGAGCCCATGCCCGAGTGCTCTGTGGACCCTTCTTGAGAGGCGGCAGGGAGCAGCTTCTTCCAGCGACCAGTGAGGGTAGAGGCAGGGGGCAAGGCTTGTATTGCATTCTCAGTGGCACTGGCCAACTTGATTTTTTAAGTTCTGGGAACAAAACAGGCAGACTGACAATGTATGGTCCCCTGTAGGCAGGGTGGTTGCAAATGCGATATAGAAGCTGAAGCTTAACTCCTGAGCCAGAGGGCAGATGTGTGTCCCACTGCCTGAGCCGCCACCACTGTGACCAGATCATAGGAAAGCCCATAGAAAACTCCTGGCTTTGCCAATCACCAGGCACAATTGACTTCATTTAGCTCTTCTGAACATCCTTTCTTTACCTCTAAAACATAGATAGATCCTGTGGCCTACATCAATAGGGGGTTTTGAAGACTCAAATAAAAATAGTAACACTTATATAGGACATAGTATGTGCCAGAGACTGTCCCTGGGGCCCCAACAACCCATTTTACAGATGCAGACACTGCAGCCCAGAGAAAGAAAGCAAGGTCAAACGGAGAAGAGTGGCAGACCTGGGAGGGGAACTAGGCTCTGGAGTCCGTGCTTTCACCACTGTGCTACGCAGTCACTGCCGAGAGACATGTGGACCTGTTCAGTGAGGTGGAGGCAGTGAGCGAGGGGGTCACTGTCACAGTGGCATGACTGAAGAGGAATCCACGGGGGAGACAGAGCCTGCAAGAGAGTCTACATAGCAGAGCCTTGCAATGGGACAGTGTCATGGCCAGAAGGACAGTAATAATGACAGGGAGTCAGAAGGAGGTGTCTGGAAAGTGAGGCCTTCCAAGGAGCTGTGGTGGAAGGACCCAGTGTGGGGGCAGTGGGCTCCTGGTGACCTGCAAAGGCACGAGGGGAGGGGATGTCAGCTCCACCTCTCCCACTCCTGCCTGCATTGGCCCCGTCCTCCCACAAGTGAAGACCTAGAAGATAAGCCTCACTCGGCAGGCAGATGTGTTCCGCGTGCAGACCTGGTGCCCTCACCCCGTGCACTGTCCGCCCTTGTCCCCGCCGCACCTGTATCAGGGCTCAGATCTCCACAGTGGGGTCCGTGAAGCCTTTTTTCCCCTCGTTCACCAGCACCGGCTTCTCTGTCCGTGTGTGCCAGACCAGGATCTGTGTCCAGGACAGGAAACAACATGGGGCAGGCCCCTGACTTCCCACCCCCTGCCACAGTTTCTCCTGCCCCTCTCATTCTGCCCTTCTTCCGTCCAAATTTCCTCCATTGTTCTTTATTTATACCTACCATCTCATTCTTGCTGTTAGTACATGTATGCATTCAAAATATCTGTTGGAAACAGAAAGTCTAGAGCTACAGAAAATAGACAAATCTCAAGATTTCCTCTTGCTTCTCATCCTCCCCCGGGTCTCGTGATGGGTCTCTCTAGAGAGGGAGAAAGTTCTTCAGGAGCCTTCAGCTCAGCTAAGTGATAGCCCTGGTCCTAGCCAGAGAAGTCCAAACTAGAAGCAGTGCGTGCGTATGTGCGTATGTGTTGTGCATGTGTGTGCACACGTGTCCGTGTGTTTGGCAGGGAGGTCGTGGAGCACTGCTGTTTGTGTGGGGAGGCCATCCTTGGCTCTGCCTCACGGGGCGCCACCCCCATCTTCCCCCCGACCTTCCTGGGCTGCCCAGCAGGTGGTAAGCTGCCTTCCGGGGTGTGCTCTGGGAAGGCGTGGCTCTAGGCTGGTTCTTCTTTGCAAGCCTGTTTTGAGGCCTTGATGTCCTGCTCCCTGAGCTGTCGGGCAGGTTTGGATGGGCTTGGACACACCTGCGTTGCAGCTGTCAGCTCTGCTGAGGTCTTACCTTGGTGCAGTTGGCTGCCTTGGGCTCCAGGTCGCTGAGGGAGACGAGCTCTCGGAGGAGACTGCTTTCCTGGTAGCCCCCCTTCACGCCACGCAGCTTGAAGTAGGCCTGGCTTCGCTGCAGAATGAGCCGCAGGTTGACTGCAAACCCAGCCATGTCTATTGCAAACGGTCGGTGTGGGTCGAACACTGTCTTCCAGCCAACCACCTTCCCTGCCCCATTGACCCGTGGGGCCTCGTACCGCAGGCCGCCGACGAAGGCAACAGGCCACACGGATACCCTCCTGGTGCTGCGCATCTATAGGTGGGGGATCCAGAGTCAGGACACCTAGGACTGCTGATGGGGAGTGATGCCCGTCCCCATGGAAGGTGAAATCACTGCTTGACTCTACGCAGACAGGCCATCTGAGGCCCCACTGGGGACCCAGGCCAGCCCTGCCTCGGGACGCATCTCTGGAGATAGGCAGCTGTGGAGGAACCTGCCCTGGGCTGTGGGCAAGGCCTGGCCTCTCAAATCCACTCATCTTCCCCTCTTCACATGACCTCCTGCCCTGCTTTCTTCCTTGCTGCAAAACCTCCCAGTCGTCCCAATCAGAGTTCGAAATTCCCAATTCAGAGTCCCCCTCCCCCAGACTACCATGATGCACAAACCCCAGGGACACTCAAACCACAGAGTCTTCCGGCAGCCACACTGAATGACCCCACTCTAAGCCCTCATTCAGGCCATGCTTCTGAGGCCAGGACTATGGTCATGGGCTCCAACTCCAACTTTCTTCCATGTACCCAGTGGGGGCTGCTGAAACCTGCAGCGAGTTTCTCTCATCCCATCTGCACTGACCTCAGCCTGGCATCCCTCCTCTGGTTTCCCTGTGTGTATACCCAAAGGGCCCCTCCACGGGAGCCCCGGGCCAAGAGTGCGCGTCTCCATCCCTCACGCCGCACGCCACAGGCCCGGCATCCGCGCCTCCTGTCCCATCCCTACCTCCTCGAAGAGCTCCAGACTGTAGGTGTTGTCGTCGTCCGCGAAGTACACCACGCCGGGCTGGCTGGAGTTGCGGGGGAAGGTTTCGCGCAGCCAGCGCAGGGCCAGGTTACGCTGCATGGTGCCGCGCGGGATGCGCGGGTCCCGGGCGTCGCCGCGCAGCTTGTAGTTGCGGGGCGTCTCCACGTGCAGGTGCGTGTAGTTGAGGCCGGTGTCGCGCAGGAGGCGCGCGGTCAGCGGCGTGCGGCGCGGCGCGTCCTCCACCACCAACCAGTGCAGGTTGGGCACGTGCAGCAGAGTGTTGGCCATGCGCGTCAGCTCAGCCTTCTGCACGGGGCGGCTGTAGGTGGGCGTCACCACGTGGATGGTGGGCAGCGTGTCCGACCACGGCGGGGGCCGCGTGTACACGTACTCCGTGCGCACCACCTCCACGATGTCGCGGTCAGACATGCAGTACTCCCTGGGGTCGGTGCCTGGCGGTGCATCGCGCCGGGGGTCACTGCCGTCATCTGCAGGGTTGGGAGACAGGCAGTGTGGGGACAAGAGCGATGGCTTGGCTCTGGCCTCGGGTACTGGGCGGGATGCCACCCACCCTGCCACGACAAACCTCTCTTCTGCTCCTTCTGCAGGCGTGTCATCGGCCCCTGCCTGGGGCTCTCCCTGTTAGAGCTGCAGGTGAAGTCTGCACCCCTGGAATTCTCCCGGGGATTTTCCTAGCTCTGACCCCCGGATGACACAGAGATAACCTCTTCCTCCTCCTCACATTTGGCAGCGCTGTAGCTATTTGAGGGCAGCTGGCCATATTCCAAGACTGCATCCTCAGTTCCTAAGAGAGTTGGGTTTTATATGACAAAGCGTCCCAACCCTCACCACCTAGTGCCCTCCTCATCTGGCTGGAGCTGACCGCACTGCCCCACACAGGGTTGGGCCAGCAGAGCACAGGGACATTGGCGGCCTCTGTGGCGTGGCTGCTGCAAAGCCCAGGAGCAGGGCTAGTGTTGTGGCTGCAGCACAGTGTGGACCCTGAGGAGTCTGGGGTTAGGTCACCCGACTTTTCACAAACCCTCTAGTCAAGTGGGACCTCTCCCCTCCTGGCCTTATGTAGTCAATCCTTTGAATCTTGGTGCAGAACTTAATACATAACTACTGCATTGTATTCCAGGTTTTTGCCCATGGTTATCAAGATAATTTTGCATCCTGAATCTATCATTTCTGATTTGAGATAGTCCCACATTTTGGCATACGCAAAAGGATAGGGTGGAGGTCTGTTCCAGCTCTTCTGCTGGTTTGATGTCAATCTCCGAATCTGCACTTTCTGGACACATTGACTCAACTATCTGGAGGCTGCCTGTCCTGACCCTCAAGGTCCCAGCATTCCCCCAGTATCTACCCATCTCCACGAGGAGACCATGAGGGACCTGTGTGAAACTTTGCAGAAGCTGGCCTCTGGTGAAACACTGACAGGCAAGGGGAAGCCATTCCTTCCAGAAGGCAACCTGCTCCAACTGGGGAGCTCTAATGAGCACGCTTTTCCTTATATCCTGGACATCTTCCTCCCTAGTGAAGCTAGAAGTCCCATCAGGAGGAGAATTCAGGGCAGTTGGTTGTTTTGTTTTCTTTTTTCTGTGAGTAAGATTGGCCCTGAGCTAACACCTGTACCAATCTTCCTCTATTTTATGTGGGACACCACCACAGCATGGCTTGACAAGTGGTGCTAGGTCCACACCCATGATCTGAACCTGTGAGCCCCAGGCCACTGAAGCAGAGTGCGTGAACTTAACCATTACACTACCAGGCCAGCTCCATCCCCCTTGGTATTCTTGTTGTTAATGAGTCCCTTCTCTCCAAGTTACGTGTTTCTGTTTGAACAACTATGAGGCCCTCCTGCTCTCACTCCATTGCAGCAGGAGGTGGTGACAGACGACAGACCTAGGAATCCAAATGCCTGGGCTCAGATGCTGCCCAGTTCTGTCACTTATTAACTATATGCCATTGAGCAGGTCATTTAGTTTCTGGTGCTTCGATTTTAGCAACTGTTAAATAGGGCTAATAATAGCATCTATTTTATTGAGTTACCATGTGGATTAATGAGTCAATACATGTAAAGGGCTCACAACACTGCCTGGCAGATTCCGTCATTTCCTCATGTAGAAAAGCAGGACAGTGTCCAGCCCTACCTCCTCATGGCTTCATGCAGCTACGGAAAGGATGACACAAGCAATCGCATGAAAGGGTTGAAGTGCAGTCCGGGGAGGACGCTGTGAATCAGCCATTCTGTGCCCTCCCCTCCGTCCCACCACTGTCATTAGCACATGGGGTGTGTGCAGTGCTTATGTGAGGGCTGACGCTGGGCTCGGGAGGAGATGCTGAGGAACCCAGAAGAAGGGAGTATGCACAAGCTAATGGTGCAAAAAGACACATAGCAACAGCGGGGAGCCTGTGATCTGGGCTGTGGACATGATGCCCATGGGCATGTGGCTGCAGGGGTGGGAAGACCAGCACAGACACAGTTGATCAAAGGCGACTTTGGGAAGGAGTTTTGGGTCAAACTGTGGAAAGAGAACAAGGTTGAGGAGCGAGAGACGGGCGATCGGAATTCTGCCAGGATATATATAAGGGTTACGTTATCCTGCAGTCAGTAAAGGTTTGGAAACCAAGGCCCAGGAAGGAGACTTGGAGAAGCTTTCCTCACCTTTTTGCCACTCAAATAATCCCTGACAGGTGGCCCTGCACCCTGAGAAAGTCCCCCACGCATTAGGCCTTGGCCTTCTCGCTGGCTGCAGGGACCTGGCGACCCTGACTCCATCTCCCCACAGCTTTCATTCAGTTCCTCTTGGTCTGCTCTGGGGAGACAGAATGCTAATTCCGCATCCTCAGGCAGTGTCATCAGCGCTTAGAAAACAGCCTGACGCCCCTGACCCCAGAGCTCTGCCGAGAATGATGTCCACACGATGTTACGTCCCTTATGGTTGTCTTAACCCCTCTAGATGTAGTTGTAGGATAACAACTCTAAAATGATAAGTGCCAAAGAAGAGATGCTGGAGTTGGGAAGAGAGGATAAATGTCAGGAAGAGAGGCTCCAGGTGCCCAGCACTGGGCAGTGGGAATTTAGCCATCTTCAGCTCAGTCCTTCCTCCCAGAAGCTTCAGGAACAGCTGGGCTGAGCAGGACCCGATGTGTAACTGTGGAGCAACCGGCTTCAGACTGTGATTTTTGGCTCCTGCCTGCATCCAAATCACTTGGGGTTACAGGCTCCATGTGCATTCCCAGACCCTACCTGGGACCCATCATCTCTCTCTGGGAGGGGCCGGAGGCCTTCATGTGTTGCCATGCTCCCATCAGATCTTATGCATGCTTCAGTGGGAGAATCCCTGCCCTAGAGAACTGAGTCTATGCGTGCACTGAGTGGGGAGGGGAGAAGAGCGTGAGACTAAGGACTAAGGAATGAGGGGGCAGGCCAGATGCGGGCCATGCAGAAGGATTTGGAGTGTAGGGAGCCCCAGCGTGGGAGGGAAAGGTAACCTGGTGGAGGGAAAACTCTGGACTCGGAGCCAGGAGGAGCCAGTTCTAACTCCAGCTCTTCCCCTGGGACTTTCCCTCTGAGAAGGAGCTCATTAAGTCCTGGGACTTTTCCTCTGCACAGGCCTGATCTCACAGAGTAGGACTAGATCCAGGCTGCCCAATTAGGAAGAGGAGCGTGTAATAATACTCTCCCTGAAAGGTTTTAAAACACAATACAGGCCAAGAATCTTATCCATTCATCCTTCCTGCTCAGCGCAGAATGCTCCAGTCCTTGCACATCCTGGAACTGGATGCAGAGTTGTGCATGTGTGTGTGTGGCAGCATTCATCATTCCCAAAGGGGCCAAGACCCCCAAAATGATAAGCTCATTGGCCTGGATCATTCACTCCTCCCAGCTGCCTGGTAAATGAAAATAAGAACTCCATCAGAATGGCCGTGGTCATTCTTATTACTGAAGCTGGGCTGGGAGACGGGACCGGGGCTGGCCAGGGGCAGGGGCTCACCCTTATGCGTGGCCAGCAGAGGTGCGATGGTGCTCTGGTGCCACACTGTGACGAGCAGCGTCCAGGGCAGTACGATGAGAACGATCGCAAGGATGTCCCGTCTTTTCGGCATCTCCAAGGCTGGCTGGACCCACAGCTCCTCGTTACCTGAGCGGTGGCAAGGTCAGGAGAGGGGCGGCCCCAAGGGCGGCAGCAGCAGACAGTGGCGAGCACAGGGGAGAAAAGAACAGGAATGGGCTGGGCAGCCCGGGCACGGGGACGGCAGAGAAGCCGAATGTTGGCTAGCAGGCCTTACCAGCACTCACAACCCACCCATTGCGGAAGCAGGTTTGCGGAGTCCAGCTCAACCAGAGTCTGAGAGGGGTGGCTGTCCGGGGCACGGTCAGGAGCCCTGCGAGGTGGACACCTGCAAGAGAGAGCAGAAGAGGATGGCCAGAGACCTGGGCCGGGGACGGACGCCCAGAAGGGCCAGACCCGGCTCCAGGACACAAGCAGCAGGGTTTTCACAGTAGGGCCCAGACCACCATCTCCCTGCAGACGGCCTCTGCCTGCCGCCTGGGCGAAGTGAGGCTCTATCTCCCCAGGCCTGGGGCACGGTGCTGCCTGCTCACGAGAATCAGCAGGGTGCACAGGTTAAGGACACAGACTTCAGACACACCTGCCCTGGTTTCAGTCCCAACTCTGCCACCTTTGCCAAGTTATGGCAGCTCTCTGTACCTCAGTTTTCTCCTCTATGCAATGGGGTAACATCAGTACCTACTTCACAAGGTCGTTCTGAGAATTAAATGAGTTAATGCCCACAAGCCCATAGGATGGCACCAGATATATAGACAGCGGGGGCTCAAGACAGCTCAAGAGAGTACTCTGTGCTCCTGTGATGTCCACATGTTTGTGCCCTGATACTTTTTTCACAGCCTGGATAAAGGGGTCAGCATTGGGGTGAATGCTCTGAAAACCAAGAAGAGATGTTTTGGGGACAGGCCCTGGGAGGTGCCCTCCCTTTGTCGGCATCAGTAGGAAACTCTCGTGAAGCACCTACTGTGCATAGGGCAGAGCGTTGGGCACTGGAGCTGAGTATCAGCAGGAAGGAGAGGTGGTCCTGGTGGGGCTGCCACACCCTGGGGAGACAGTACTCAAAGTGGCAGCAGCAGGCGCCCTAGGAGAGGTACCCCCTGTGTGAGGAGGGGAGCCTGCTCAAATTTCCTGTCAGTTCTGCAGAGGGTCTGCCGGTGGCATTGTCCTCTGGGCCTTGTTCTCTCATGTGACAAAGGAGAGCAGGCATAGAGACCACATGAACACCACGGAAATGGTCACATCCTGCTCTCTGCCTTCCTCTTCACTCCTGTGCTGAGCACTGTGCAAGACGCAGGTGGGGTCTGTGAGGGAGGACGGCAGGGAGCAGAGCCTTGGGCAGCCCCTGGTGGGTCCTGGTGTGCCTACCACCCATGCCCAGCACCGTGCAGTGATGTGCCTCAGGGCCAGCTGCCTGCCCAGCCCAGGTGGCGTGTGCCCTGCAGCTCTGCAGATTTGAAAGCCGTGGCTTAGGGGGAGCTTTGGAGACTGTGTTCTGCTCTTCTTGTCTGGCCCTATGTCCAAACAGCTCTGATGCCCTGGGGAGGAATCAAGCATTGTTCTCCAGTAAAGAGCACTGTTTTCCTGCGGGGGCGGCCAGCAAGCCCCTGCCTGCCTCCTACTACCAAAGGCCCACTCTGCCTCCACAGTCTCCTCGTAGGCAGATGGTAGACAGGCTGCCCCTCATTCCTCAGGGAAGTGGAAAGCCCACCAGGGTTACAGGTTACAGGCAGAGACAAACAGTGGGGCACAGAACAGGGAGAATAATCCTGGGGCACATGCTGTGTCTCCTACAAACTCCTCTTCCACAGCCCCAGCAGGTGACAGAGCCCAGTGTCCCACCCCAGGATGCCTGTCCGGGTCTCATGTGCTGAGTATGATGAAGCAGAGTAAGCTCCTGCCACACCCCAGCCCCAGCCCCAGCCCCAGCCCACGCTGTGGGGCCACCGACAGGGCCACAGAGGGCTGAGCTGGGGCCTTGGTTTGGCTGGGCAACCTCAGGCCACACCTGATGCAGGACTGGGGAGCTTCTCAAAGGCCTGGCTGGGAGATTGCCTCTGGTTCTCAGTGACTCCCAAAGAGCTTTGCCAAATGTCCTTCACATTGGGGAGGGTTCTAAGCTCAGGATGGAGAGGGCAGTGGCAAGGTCAGCTGCATGCCACATGGTGCGCACACACCCAGACTCTCCTGGGCACCTTCTTGCCTTTACAACTGTCACTTCTGGGCAGGCTCCTCACCTGAGCCCACACCTCTGGCCCCACTCAGCCTCTCACTTGTCTGCTTGGGCTGCCATTAGTAATAACACTGTTAGGCGGCACTGGTGGTGTTAAAAGACAGCAGCCCACACTTCCGTTCAGCATCACAGCACCCCGGCGGGAGGTGGGAGTCAGCGGGGCCAGCCCCTGAATCACTTGGGACGTGGTGGGGCCAGACACCAATCCAGACCCTTTGGCTCGGGCTGCCATCAGGAGCAGGGAAGGGGCATGCCCCAGAGCCCCCAGACCTGGTCAGGCACAGGACGAGCATAGGGACACACACAGGCCCTGACCCAGAGCCGCTTCAGAGCCACCCTCCTCCATGAAAGCCACCTCCACAGCGGGGTCCCAGCACCTCCCTGGATGCAGGAGCAGGAAGGGGGCAGGAGAGGAAAGTGGGGAGATGGAGACAAGGGTGCAAGGGGGCCATGGAGAGACAACTCTGATCCCATACGGTCTGTTTGGTCAAAACATCTATGAAAGCAAGGGGAAGGGAGGATGAGGGAGGAGAGCTCTAAAAATAAACTTCGCAATAAACCCAGTTGTGCATTAATTACTCTGGAAGCCATTACAGCTTGAAAACCCCATAACTTTAATGGAAGCTATTATAAGCATAGTAGCAAAATCGTGTGGCTAATTACCAGGCGGTTATTAAGCAGAACAGGGAGAGCCCCCAGACTTGGAGGAAGCCAGCTGGCCCGCAGGTGGCAGACTTGTGGGAAGTGGGGCTTGGGCTGTGTTGGGGCTGAGGCTGTGCCCAGCCCACCTCCAGAAGATCTGAGGCCAAGTCTGAGATGGGGCTGCAAGTATGAGCACCTCGCCACCGCCTGCCACTTCTGCCTGGGAGGAGCAGCAGCTTGCCTGTGGTCCAAGGCTTGGCCCTGCAGGCTGCATCTGCCTTAGACCCCAGAATTGCTTTGGGCCCAAAACATGGAGGCTTGGCCACACCCAGATGCCAGGAGATAGCAGGGGGCAAGGGCAAGGAGAATGGGATGTTTGAGGAAGGGTCACATGGAGGCACAAGAGGTGGCTGACAGGAGACTGTGCAGGCATGAATAAGTGTGGGGGCCCAGGGTCCGCTGTGGTCATGACTCCTCATCAGACACTTGTAACTCATGTCTGTGACCAGCCTCAACTGTCATTTATCCCTCGGCAAGTGCAGACATGAGGACACCTTTCTGCCCCCCTGGGTGCTGTCAGGAGCCTCCACTGGACATAGACAAAGGCTACAGTGTGGGTAGAGTGTGTGAGGCTGCCTGGGGGATGGCCATTTGGTGACCGGAGCAGAGCGCTGAGAGGCAGCGGCAGGGAGGCAGTGGCCTGGACAGTGCTCTGGCCGGCTCTCCATTGGGTGATGGGATCCCACTGCTTGTCCTCCTTGATCTCTGTCCTCCTCTTCAAAATATGAAGGCTGGATTGGGAGAGTTCTAAAGAATTTTCAGTTCTGCCGTTTTAGCAACTTGAGGTTAAGACAAGTAGGGCTCTGTGAGGATGAAGCAATGTCTTACGTGAGAAAAGCAGGGGTCTGGTGGGCATTCAAGGCCAAACCTAACAGCTTTCCATGAAATTGGTCATGATTTAAAGTCCAATAAGCCATGGACATTGGCCATGTATGGGAAGATCTATTTATAAGAATTTGTCTATGGATTTTAGGGTGTCATGAACTATGCATGAGAACTAGGGAGTGTTTGGGACCTAGATGGGAGGGATCCGATGTGCCCAAGGCTGGGGCCAGGCCAGCCAGGCGGGACAGCCCAGGAGAGGCTGGGCATGAGGAGGCAGGGCTGGGTGTGAGGTCGGCTTCAAGGATGGCTGATTCCAAACCTACAGAGAGGCTTTCTTCTGAGCCTGCAGGTGTTCACACAGAAACCTCATCAGTGCCCCTAGTCCCTGAAGAGGAGGCTTATGAATTCCATTTGATAAATATTAATTCAGCATCTGTAGTGGACAGGTGCTGTGTTAGATTCCGTGGGCAGCACAGCCAGGAGAGAGGGAGCAGGGGCTTCCTTCCAGCATCTCCCAGCCCGGAGATCTCAGCTCACTCTGAGGCCTCCATCACATCACTCATCAGTGAAGTGTGATCAGTACTGATGTTGCAGAGATGGTGTCTGTGTGTGTGTGTGTCTGTGTGTGCGTATGTGTGATGGGAGTCGGTTGCAAACAAGCTCAGAAACCATCCAAGCCACTCATCTCTAGAGGAGATAAAAGCCATGTTGCCCGGTAAGGCTGGGAACAGTAGTTAGTTGATTAGTCAAAGAAGTACGTTAACATGAAGAATCTCTCAAAACGATGCCTACATGCCCCACACATTTCAATTTGGGAAAGTAACTTTCAAAGAGCCAGGAGTTCAATCGACGATGTTTCCCCACTACTGTGCAATATGTAGTCACCGTCCCCGAGTCCCAACCATGCAGCACTGGCCAGCTGACAGCACTTCCACCTTTTTGATGCAGGCTGAGGCCTCTTCTTGGGGGACATCATCCATGTCCAGACATCATCTATGCCGCGATGCACCGCCTGTGACCTCCAGTGTTGAGTTATTTAAGATGACCTGAGACCTGAAGGACACTGGTGACTAGTCCGAATGTAATGTCCTGCAGAATTTTTATGGCTTTTCCCACCAATCTTCACCTAATTTGGAGAACTTTTTTCAGACTCACCTTATGGAGTCTTTTGAAAACATTCAACTTAATTTTCATAGAAACAAGACATTTACTTCTTTCTAGATTGTATTTCATGGTTTATATGATACTCTGGGATGATGATAATAAGCATGACGGTTGTAAACAGGCTGGGAACAAACATTACAGACTCAACAGGATGCAGCTCAGCTGGTGTGAGGGCATGGCCACCAGAGGGGACCCCGGCCTTGGGCTTGCTCAGCATCTGACAGCACGCTTTCCAGAGGCAATGAAGAACATCGGTCAATGTGCTGAGTCTATCGAGGAGAGGCTGGTTAAGAAAGCTTCTGGTGTAACTGTGGAGGAAAGAAGCCATCCGTCCTCTGTCCCTGGGAGCCTGAGTGGCCCTGGGGCTGACTGAGGCAGACTCTGAAGCCTTCTCTTGCAAGAGCACAGCC